GAACAAATAAAATACTAAAAAAAAAAAGCCAAACAATAACATTTTAAGTTATCTAAGTGACTCATATATATTTAACCTGAGTAGCGAAAGACGGCGGTGGGTTTGAAAACGATTTGCGGGAGTCCGGTGTTCTCAGGGCGCTAGTGAGCCTAGCCCCCGGCTCGCTAACGAGCTAGTGGGTAACAGATATCTCCGAAAACGTCGGAGCGCTTTTGAAAATATGTGGTGTCCTGATAAACTGAGCAGATATTTGAGGTTTACACAGCTACATTCTCGCCTGAAAATATGTTAAACGTTTATTTTGTGACCCAGAAAGAATAATAAGAGTAACATTAAAACTAACTAGCTGCCGCCATTGTTGGAAACTGCGCTGGGACGCGCTATGAATTCTGGGACACAGCTGCTTCTTCTTCTTCTTCTTCGGGGTTTAACGGTAGCTGACATCCTTGTACATGCAATGCTGCCATCTTCTGTTTCAGTCCGTTATTACACTCTTAAATCCTGCCACTTATTCCTGCGTCTTTTGTGATCGTACAAAGTTTCAAACGACGCGTCGACTATTAAATCAGTCGTCGACGATTTTGATAGTCGACGTAATCGTGACTAGTCGACAAATCGTGGCAGCCCTAGTGCAAACGAATGCAGCTTTACTGTAAATGACATGAGTTCACTGGCCCAAGATGATGTAAGCTTATGGGAATGTTGATCAAATAATGATAAAGTGCTGAGGTTTTTATTATACCTGCAGTGCCATGATTTTGCATTTTGCATATTTCTGATACTTAGACAAAGATAACCCGATAAATTAAGATTTTATTCATTAAAGGAACTTCCTTTTTCCTCATAGTCAACTAATTGCCCCCTAAACGTATTGCTTGTTGTACCAACTGTTGCACAAACTTACAGCCAGACATTTTCCTTCTGGATTTTCTGGCAGAGAGCAGAATTCATGGTTCCATCAATTACAGCAAGTTGTCCCAATTCTGAAGCAGCAAAGCAGTTCCAGACCATCACACTACCACCTCCACGTTTGACTGTTGGTATGACGTTCTCTTAATGAAATACTGTATTTTTCCTGATATGTAACAGTCAGACTTTTTCATCAGTCCACAGAATATTTTCCCAAAAGTCACGGGCATCATCAAAATGTGTTTTGGCAAATGTAATACAAGCCTTTGTGGGGGTTTTAGGGGGATTTTTTTGTTTTTTTTTTTGGTCAGCAGTTGATTTCACCTTAGATGCCATTTGTGTCTCTTTCTTATTGTTGAATCATGACCTCTAACCTTAAGTGAGGCGAGTAAGGCCTGATTTTAGATTTAGATTTTATTCCAGCTTCTGTTCTGACTTCCTGGATGAGTTGTTGATGCACTCTTGGTAGGCTGACCACTCCTGGGAAGGTTTACCAGTATTCATATTTTCTCCATTTGTGCATAATGGCTCTCAACGTGTTTCCTTGGAGTCCCAAACCTTTTCCAGACTGATATCAGTCACTTTGTTTCTCATTTGTTCCCAAGTTTCTTTTTCTCGTGGCATGATGTGTTGCCTTTAGTCTACTTGACTTCACAGGCTCTATTTAAGTGACTTCCTCCTTTAATGGGTCTGGCAGTAATCAGGTCTGGGTGTGGCTAATAAACTTGAACTCAGCTTTCCAAAAAAATGTAGTTGATCACACTTAATTCATGATTTAACCAGGAGGAGCAAAATAGTTTTCCACACAGGGCCAGGTAGGGTTGAATAGCTTTTTTCCTTTTAATATATGGAATTACCATTTAAAAGCTGAATTTTGTATTTACTTGGGTTCTCTTTGTTGAATATTAGAATTTGTTTATATAAAGTGTGACAAATATGCAGAAGAACTAAGAAATGAGAAAGGGGTGTGATCAGTCTGCTATTCATTGCTGACTAGCTTTAGATGAGTCAGCAACCCATACGGCCTTTGTACCCGACACCCACCATTAGGTAGCAAATTTAGTCATAGGGTTTCCCAGCCCATCTATCAGTGGCTAAAACAATTATATTCAGATACCTTGATTTTAATATTGTTTGAACATTTTGAGATGTTTGATGCTCTAGTCTCCGTTTTAATTTGTATACTGCCTGCTGTTTAAACATTTTAAGCAAGAAATATTGTAAACAGTGGGACTAAAATGGGATTTTACTTGCTTCTATTACTGGGTTTATTGAATATGGATAAAACTGCAATACAGACTTGATTTATTTTCCGTGTATTCAACATGATTTAATTTCAAGACTGAAAATCATACTTCAGTGAGATAAATTGGTCTAAATAAATAATACATCAGTGACTTTTGGACTTGAGGGAAAGAAAAGTTTATTATTAAGCCTAAATATTCAGTATATATGACTAATATAATATTGTTAAACCAATAAAATAAAGACGGTAAAAATAAAAGATGGAAAATGCTCTTATCCATCCTCATCTCTTCGTAGCCAGGCTTTGTACAAAACAGAATTACAGTCCTCCAGAATCTCTTTCAAACTTAGGCCTCATCCTGCTGATATTCCCTCAGGCAAATTAAGGATTAGCTCAGCCTTTCAAACAGGAATTCCTCAGTCAGTTCCCATGAATATGCCCCCTCCCAAACCAAATCAGCTCTGTTTTGACCATTGCCCAGCTATGGGCCTAAGCCCCATCCCTCAGTTAGGTTGGTTGTGAGCCGTAGTAAGAGGATGAAGTGGATTGTCGAGCACCACTCTGACTCATGCCCTTGAGTACCACGCTGCCAAAATGCTCAGAGGACGTAACACTTGTACTGCGCTTAAAGCTGCTGCTGCAGGCACCTCTGTTAATAGCAAACTGAAATACTGTGACAGTGAGAAAATGTAATGAGCTGACATCTTCATTCCCTCTGCGTGGAGGTGATTTTGATAGGATTAATGCTATATCCCTGATTAAAAGTGAAATATTGCGGCAGTAGAATAATACGTGCTCCTGTTTGTTTGTTTTTGTTTTGTTTTTTTATGTTTGGGGTCATGAGGATGATGTGAAACACTGTTTGTTTCTGTGTGGTATTTTTTAGATTTCCCCTCTTTTTCTAGTGGCAATAACACAACAGAGATTCATGACAGATGAGGAAGACCAATATGTAAACACAACCTAAAAATGGCACATTTTGTTTAATTCTCCAGTTGTAGTCACTGCTCCGTTCATGTTTATGTTCATTTGTATATGGGATTTCTGCTTTAAGCAGTTATATAACTCTTTATCTAGGACAGCAACTAGCGGTCTGTTTCAGTCTCCCTTTTGATGTGTTCAGTGGACAAGCAAAGGACAGTGTTGCTGTTCTCTCTACTGCACATTTGGTTACTTTTAAAAGACAGGAAGTGAATTTGTGTGTGTGTGTGTGTGTGTGTGTGCCTGAAAAGTTGACATAATCATAGCTCACATATTTTCCACTCTCTAACAGAATTTTATCTGTCCCTAACATTTCTTGCCACATGTTCCCACTAGTCTTTCCTCCTGGCACTGCTTTTGATATCCCACTTCACACGTGCTGCCTGACTAGTTGGGATGACACCCAGAAAACCTGCTGCAAGAAATAAACGGCTTAGGCTGTTATGAGTTGTAGAGTGGCGCGTCTCTGCGCGTCCATGCTCTGTCAGGCCCATTGTTCTGCAGGCTACAGAGCCTTCCAAGACACTTATTTAATGAGACGGCTCTGACTGTGTAATTGCAGGCTGTTCTCAGAGCTATTATGGGAGATGTATTTTAAGGGGGCAAAACAGCCATTACTGCGGCAAAAACGAGCCGTGAATGTGGAGCAAAGTCACACTCTGTCAGTGGCGTTGATATAAGGGTGAGCATCCACTGCCACGCTGTCTACACACTGATTATGTTACAGATCAATCTTCAGTGTATCTTTAAATGTGTTTGACTCCCAGACCGTGTGTTTTAAATTAGTTTTTACATTGTAAAGAGTTGGAAATGCTCTGTGCTGCTGCTATTCTTTTGCCCGGTTCTCTCCAGGCTTCATTCATAGAAGTTACTTGCTTGCTAGCATCAAAATTCCTACCAGTAATAATTTATGAAGCTATCCAGCTGTCAAGGCAGTATTTTGCATTTCAGACATCTTTCCCAGAATATCTGAAAAACCAAATAAATTTTGAAAAATTCTCATCTCCTTTTAAACAAATCTTCTTAAATTTATGATTCTCTGTGAGGCCCAGCTGTTTTGCTCCAATTCTCTTTCAGTATGCCAGATGACTCTGGTCTCACATATTTGGTTCACTAGTGCTGGGATTTCCTAGTCACATGATTTATTTAGGATGTTTTAAGGTCTTTCAGAGAGCCTCACTATCCCGTCCTGGCACTCTATCTCTCTTTTAGCTCTTGAAATTACTCCCACTACTCAGTCTTTACCACCGCTCCTGTCATCATTCTCCTCCCTCCTCCCCACAGTGCTCTTTGCAAATTAAAAGAAACAAACCAATCTAAGCTGACAGCTGAGTTCAGCTCAAATAAATGAAAGGCCAGCAGTAGTTTAGCTCTGTCTTACACTTTACCCCATCGGTGCCTTTTGGCTCCATCCCAAAGCTTTGTTTATTGTTAGTTAGATTACATAACAAAAGCCTATTCTACATCAGGACCTCGGCCAGAATAATCAGGCTTTGGTTGCACAGACTTATTGTAGATGAGCTCATCTCAGTGGCTTCCTACTGCTGGCAGTACTTTTTATTTATTAATTTTTTTTTCTCTTTTTCTGTATTCCTAGTTTGATGGGGCTTTTGGCCCAGTGCTTCCTCATTCCTGACATCTCCTATCTTTATAAAGAATAGGAGAGAACATGAAGGTTTGCCACCACCTTAAAGTAGATGTAGCCGTGAGAGACTGGAGCCGTGAGATAGCAATCAGAACAGCAACAGTCACACCCGTGGATAGACTTTACAGAGGGATGGGCAATGTTTGTTTGGTGTAGGGTATGGTATTCCTGTTGTGTATTGCCTGTTATGGAAAACTGACAATCCTTTCTGCTTTTCAGTATCTGGAGAGGCCCCAATGTGAATTGCGTGGACAGCACTGGATACACCCCTCTTCACCACGCAGCCCTTAATGGACACAGGTAGATTAGCGATTACCGTTTGGAATTCGGGAATACGTCTGTTTATGCTCTGAAATTTAATGCAGTCTGGCCTGGCAGACCATTGTACAATGGGGAAGCTGAATCTATTGATTGACTGTTTACTAAGACTCTGAGTATTTATTAATGTCGTTTTTATTGTTGGCTTTTTCTGACCTATCTCTTTATTCGTCTACAGCGAGGTGGTGGAGGTGCTGCTAAGAAACGAGGCTCTGACTAACATCGCAGACAACAAGGGCTGCTATCCTCTCCATCTGGCTGCGTGGAAGGGAGACGAGCATATCGTAAAGCTTCTCATTCACCAAGGACCTTCACACCCCAAACTCAACGAGCAGGTCTGCCCGTGCACTTAGTCATCTATGTTAATGTGCATGTGTCAACGTTGGTCACTCTTACACTTCTGGTTTTGCTTGTACGTTCCCCATGCAGTACATGTAAGGGAAAACCGTATTGAAATGATGTCACTTTTCAATATGTGTGTCTGCAGCAGACCCATAAAGGCCTAATGGAAGCTTGCTAGCTCTTTTTTACGCTAATGATTCTTTCCTTTTCAGCACATTTGGTCTCTGGTAGTGTCAAGATGACCTTTCTGATGGTTTAAACATCAACTATACGACGTTTATCCTTTTCTAAATAGACTAAAGTGGACATTTTTGCAATAAGAGTCATATAGAGATAGTAAAAGTCTAGTGCAGCATGGCATGTATTTGAATAAGATGAACGTTAAAAAGACTGATGAGAGTACATGAACTCCAGTGCATCTTGAGCCTCAACTTCTCCTTTGATAATGTGATACTTGAAGTGCTTTGACAGCTTGCTAGAGTGAAAAGTGCTTGTTTCCTCTAACCATTTTAACTGTTTTAACTCCTACATTTGATATTTTATTTGGTTGCTTACTGCACAGATAGCTTCCAGACTGAAACCATCCCTGGCCTATCCTATTTGAGATGAGGAGAAATGACCCATAATGAGCTTTGCAAACCTAGTCCGAAACATTCGGTCAAACAAACATTCGTCTGTAACCACAAAGTCACTCAAAAATATCTTGGTTTCATTGTGTGTCATTTCTCCCTGCCTGTTCATGACATCTAAATGTTTTTCTTCTCCTTTTTATTTAGTTTGGCTCATTTGTGACCATCACTCATTTGTTCATTGCTTGTCTGAACCAAAACCATCGACCTATCTTCTGTTCCTCCCTCCCAGAGCTCTGTAGACCATAAAGAGTTCAAACGCTGTGGGCCCTTTGACCCCTATATTAATGCCAAGGTGTGTACACAGTGCTGCCAAAACTTTTCCTTTAAACCTCCTTCTTTGCTTTAATGCTGTGTTGGCTTTCTGTGCTTGGGTGTGTTTGTCGCCGTTGCTTGTGGGGTCACTCTGCTGTAGAGATATGGGGAGGCTTTTAATTTCGCTGCTATCAGTCAATCTCTGCTCTCATGCTTTCTCCACATGTTGTGCTCTCCAGTTATATTGAGATGTTATGTTTACCACGGGGGATTCTGTTGTACTAGCCTCTTGATCATGATTGTGAATACATAAGGTGTTGTATTAAAATGCCCTTGAAAGTTTAGTAAATGACTGTCTTCCAGGGGACGCTGTAGGTCATTTGAGTCTTTTTCCAGTGGGTAAGAAAAACCTGATTTAAGTACCGTAAAGTTGTTGGCAACACAGAGTCAGCTGTAGAGGATTATACTGGAAGGATACGCACACCACACCATCAATTAAGCTATTATAATCATTACGGTATTACTCCAATCTTTCAAAGGCTGAAAGTTGTATGAGATAAAGAAGGTCTTCTGTGAAATCTTCCACTGGCTTTCGATGGATTAGCACAAATTCCGGTTTTCATGGTTCCCAGACAATAAAGTACGATGACTTTTTTTCCTAAGGGGCCAACATGAGATTGAGATTTTTGTTGTCAGAGATAAATGTCTTAACAGATGGAAGATAGCAACACTGGTTACAGGGATTTTTATCTCCTTGAAGAGGAACAGAAACTTTGATCCCTGTGTGTTTTTTGTTTGCGTTTTTGTTTTTTAATCCATTGCCGCCGTGAAGCAATAATTTTCGGTTTCATTTTATGATCAGATAACGGAAAAACAAACTGCAGTATTTTGTGTGTAATGCTAATCAGCAGGAATTAGCATTATAGCATGCTGAATTAAATGCTTTTACATGACAGATGTGGAAAAAGTACATTGACTATATAAGAATGAATATAATCCATCCGTGTTGATGTATAAATTGACTGTTACTGAAATGAATTCACCTGGGAAGATTGAATCAAATCACTTGACATGTCAAAACTACAGTATATTTTAATCTGCTGTTAATACATTTCACGAAGGATAGACACATACTAGTCTTTTATGTACAGATCATAGGTAACAGAGATTCATGTGAAGTAACTACTTGCTGTAGTACCTGCTATATTCCACCAGGCGCAACCCTATAGCATTCAGCTACCCAGAGAAGCCCCAGTCACAGCCTTTCTATGTGTGTGCAGAGTGCTCAGCTGGCAGTGTCATCCTCACAGTTAGTGCAGTGTACAGGGTGAACATGCTGGTCGCTCCATGATTTGATTTTCTGCAGGCAGGCCAGTAGATAAAGCTGCACACTATTTTAGTACATTGTCACGTTTCCCCTGGACTAATCTTCTTAGCATTTGGATGGGAAGGCTGGCTTTCTTTAGTGCTGATATACAGTACATCAGAGCATGTGTTCTGTGCATTAGTTCTAATGCTTTTCCGTTTATTCTAATTCAAGGATTAAAAAAAAATTAATACTAAATAGAGTTTTTTTGTTCTGCTGAGATGTCAAAAATGTCTCAGTGTAAACACTTCTGAGATAGTTTGTGCTCCACTCCTGGTCATGAAACTGAATAATTGATGCCTTGTTATTAATAAACCAGAAATCAGGATGCAGTGTGGGTGGTGCGACCCTGGTTGTGGTCATGGTTGATGGCATCATGTGACTCAGTAGACGGTCTGTGCTCTGAATCCAGATTCATAACAATCTACATCGAGAGCTCAGTCGCAAGAGAATGGGAAAGATGGGAGGTTTTCAATGTAAAAGTCTCTTTGAATCAACTGTGTGTGTGTGTGTGTGTGTGTGTGTCCTCCTGCTCCCACATCCCAGTTTGTGCTTGCTCTGCTGAAGAGGGGAAGAGGTGAGACATTGTCATAGTAACAGTGTCACGGTTTATTGGTCCTGCGGTGGCAGTGAGAGACCCAGTGGAGAGATGCTGGCTTTGTGTAAGCTGGTGTGGTTGAGTAAGGTGTGCAGTGATGCTGTACAAAATGTCTTAGGGACTACAGCTTCAGAAGTAACTCACTCAAGAAATCATTCTGGATTGAGTCCAGTTTGCTGTCATCCTGGTCCAAGAAGTTAGCCAAACTAATGTTTATTCATCATACCACCATCCTGTCTCCTGCTGATACTAACCTCTGTGGGAAGGCCACTTTGATGATGTTTCAAAAGCCTCAGCAGGGGAGTATTGGCCACTAGCCACAGGATGTGCCCCCCACACCAGTTTGGTTAGGGATGTAGAGTATATTCTGTTCTTGAAATTTAGCTGAAGATTCTGGAGTTCAACAAAAAGTTAACAAGTAGCTATTTTCAGACTGAATCGAAAAACGAATCATTGTTTTCGTGATTATTTTCTTAAACATGTTTATTAGTTTTAGTTTTGTCTTGTACTTTTGAACTGCTAAAAACTGGTTGGGGAAAAAGAAATCATGGAATTTTGTGGTTAAATAGTAATACACCAGTATATTGTACACTTGCAGACGTGACGTGTCATTGATGTACAGATGTCCAAGAGTGATATTTGCAGTCTATGCAGTGACTGTAAATGTTAATTTGATCTACAAGAACTGGAACCTGGGTGGGTACTTGTAGACGTGTTTATTTCATGATAAAGGAAAACAAATTTGCAATTAGTGAGAAGAAAATGATGAAACAGCGGAAAGAAAGCAAATAATAATGATAATCTCCTCTTACCGAAAAATGAATCAGTCGACGTTTCCCATGCAGGCAGGATCGTGTCATAGTTGGAATGTCGGCCTTATTGTTATGACCATATCTCATCCAACACCCAGTCCGGATGTTCAGCATTAATCAGCCTTTTAAAATATGTTGAAAATTTTAACCTGCAGTGCAAAGCTTAGTCGTCTCTGTTACAGCTGTTGCTTCCTCTTCAGTTCTGGTAAACCAATCACTGCTGGTGAATGTAAAATGCAGCCCTGCTGGTAGGACTGTCACCACAGAGATGAGAATCAAAACACAGGTATACTGCAAAATATAAAGAGGATTTATCTGGTACTCATCAGCTTAAGCTGGATTCATAGTCCTGCATTTGTGTCTATTTGTGCCGCTAAGCAGAGAGAATTCAGCCAATGTACAGGCTACAAACACTTACTTGGTATTTCCAGGAAGCTGGGGAAAAAACCCAGTAACCACAACGAGCACTGATCTGAAGTACAAACAGTGCCTCCAGTGGAGTGTGATCTGTTAGTTGCTTTTTGTCTGTTATCACTTGTTTATTCTAAGATGCATAACCAACAAGAGCAGCCTACATTACTGGGTAATAGGCGGCTAAAACATGTAGATGTGTGTTTGCTAAGTAGCACCTACTAATGCACTATGCCACAGCGATGCTGCTAATGAGCGTTGTGTTCACTGATTTGGCAAGAGCTGGTTCATTTCTATGTAACGGACCTTCACTCAGGTGTTCCAGAAACCCTGCATGTGGTGCTCATTAGATCATTTTTATCACTGACCTCCTTTTTCCCCCCCCTTTTAATAAATTACCATATTTGACCATTATAAATCTTAGTTTGCCCAGACTTGTCATGCTACCTCTCATCCAGGCTTTCTTATATAGGTCACTTGTCTAATACGATATACAATAGGCTGGTGAATTCTGACCCAGCCTCAGATGTGCTTTACATGTCCCCACACACAAGCCACTTCAGAGCCATCTAAAATAAGTATCCAAGAATGGAACAATATTTAATGACGATAAATGGAAATGCTTTAGTTTGGTGCAGCTTTAAGCCAAGCTCATGTGAGACTATATGCAGAAATGAAGCCGATCTTATGCCTTGCTCTCTTCGTGCGCAGTGGAAGTTGCTGATGGAAGCAGTAGATGCAATATTTCTGATTTGGGCACCTCATTATCAAGCCGAACAGAGTTTCCCTTCCTTCCTCTAGGCATAATGTTTGCAGTGTGACAGCACGCTCATTTATCCCCTCCGTCTGCCACTCTAGTGTCCAGCTCATGCCTCGTCAACACTTTGCACTCCCTTCTGCTCTCGGCTTGTCCTCCAAGACCTGTTCTCAACTCATTCATGCTAAGAAGTGCATGAAGTATGCTTGACATGCCCCTGAGGGAACAATGTTTTTTTTGATTCCTTATTTTAAAAAGAGCAATCAGGGTTCCAACATTGTCATAAGTGTAAGGATGTGTCTCCCATGTCAGTTTTGAGAAATTTGAGGAGGAGGGATTGGGGACAGAGCCGGGGTGTCTTATTTTGATAGTTTCCCATTTTTTTTTTTAATTTTTTTTTTTTTTAATTTTTTTTAAATTTTTTTTTAATTTTTTTTTAATATTCTGTAGCTGTATTTGAAAGGTGGTGTATTTTAACAAGTGCAATACGAAAATGAAAAAGGTAGAAAACACCCTGTGCAAAGAATTACATTCCATGGCTAGAAGCCATTTAGGCATCCATCTCATTACAAGACTCCAAAGCCTGTAATCCATTACTGTAGCCTGCCTTCATATTATTGGTGCTCTGTGTTATATGCAAAAACAAAGGGCTTTTGACTAATAAAGAAAAATACCAAAGCTGAAACAAATGGCTACTTTTTTGTGATTAACTGTTTTATTTATTTATTTGAGCAAAATATAGAACAGAAATCAGCATTTCTCATCAAAACTCTCCTTCTTCCTCAAACTCCCAAACAAGTCACCAGTGTTCTTTAATTATCCTTGGCTACAATTATACTTAATTTAAATTGTTCCATAACTCATAATAAACCTAAAAACATTAAAATTGAGTCCAGCTGCAAATGACTGCTTCATTTTTTTAATAACTTCTTTTTTCAGTATAACAGCAGAAATATTGTTTAAATAATTTTATCAGAAGCACCCAGAAAACGACGCTTTAGTTCACGTGTGTGAGATCTGTGAGCTGTCTGAATGCACAGAAGCTAGCAGGAATTCAATCGGTGACACTGGCATGCACTGAGGATGGGCAGCCCTTTGGCGCACTAGCTGCAACAGCTGCTCAGCCCACCCCTCCACCACCATCACCCACCACTACTACTACTACCACTTCCAGAGGCCAGGCTGACGTAACCTCTGCTTCGCCCTGCTGCCAGTGAGCGTGTCACGTGACTGCGGTGGCTAGTCAAACCGTGTTACCGTCTCCCAGCTGCAGGTTGTGAGAACCATAACATCCTGCCCTTCTCTCTGTCACTTGGGGTCTTTCTCCCTCGTCTCAGAACATTCAGCAGCGTGATAACACAATGGGGTGTAATCTCCAGATGTTTTTGGTTAAACCACGATTTGTCAATCAGCAGCGTAATCTCTTCTTTGACGTGCTCTGTGGTCAAACTCAGGATGCAGCTCCACACACCGTAAAGACAGAAGACTGCCCAGGAAGTCTTAGCTTTGCTTTATGAATTCTAATCTTTCCCAGCGCGGCTGCAAGCCTTTGGTGTCATTTTGGGTAATAGCCTTCTGAGATCTATCTTGTTAGTGCGTGATTGTCTGACCGCTCATGTGGCCTGTGGTAGTGCAGAGGAGATAATGCTGATCCCAATCTTTATAAAGCTGAATTCAATGCTGAAAGTCCTTCTTATATAACAATATAAAAGTGTTTCATCAGAAATTGCAAATTAACTCTGTACAATAGCATTTTTGAATGGGATTTGTTTGCTACAGGGCAAGCAGTCTGCTGAAATTAGTTTCAAACTGGGCTCCATATTTCAGCTCTCCAACTGTCATGCCTTCACTCTTTCAATTTCTTTTGTCTCACATGCAGATTTTAATGCAAAAGCAAAGTAGACCGACTTTCAAATAGTTTTTTCTAGTTATGCTTTGTATATATGCGTGTTCCTCTGACGGCCTATGAATAAACGAGTTCGGCTGAACAATGTAACAAAATATTACACAAGACCCTGCAGTGTCTGCCCTGTAAATGCACTCCACATAAATCATAATGTTAATGAGAAATGGAGTCTGTAAGATTTGTGTGCATATTGCATTTGTGCAAATGGGGCGAGCAACAAGACACAGGTTCAATTCCCGATTGGCTGGCTCATTTTGCTGATATAAAATGCTTAAAAATAGCCATATAAATAAATTGTATACTCCTACTATACAACTAGTGGGATAAACTATAAGTGCTTCCGTTATAAGCTAAAACTGCAATACAAAGCAAAGCGGTCGAGGTGTTTGGGAGTAAGTGGATGTTTTAGTGGAAGGCCTCTGTGTGGATAACATGCACCAGTGCTGCCACTGAAGGAGCCAAGGGTCACTGTCCTATTGCTGTGTGTTTCCTAACAGTGAGTCAGACGGCTGGTCAGCCATGTTTAATGCGATCAGATGCTGGGTGAAACATTGCTACAGTGCCCTGACCACCACTTTGGCAAGGGAGACATTTGGTGTTAACATGCTCATAAGCACTGAAGTCATGGTATGTGTCCACTGTGCGAGTCATTTTTCAGCACTATTATTAAATATCATGAGAGAAGAGTAAAAAGGGTGTTTCGGTATTATCTAAAAGGTTCCTTTGCCTGATTTTACAGGCAGCTTTTGCATGGTTTGAGTTTAGAATTGTACCTAAGGGGCTTCCTTAAAAGTTAAGGCACCTTTATTGCATGTCACACCTCTGCCTCTTCCAGGAAGGAAAAGCCACATTGCCAAAAAAATATAAAAAAAGTCCTTGTATGCCAGATTTACTTGGATTACTATGAAGGCAGGAGACCTGCATGTTTGAGGAAGTGAATCATGCTGATAGTGTGTGTGTGTGTGTGTGTGTGTGTGTGTGTGTGTGTGTGTGTGTGTGTCCGCTGAAGTCATCGAAATGCTGAGAGTAAATCTGTTTAAAAAGCTGTGACAAATGCTCGATGGTGCATCACAGATGAAAGACGTTCGGACCGTTTCTGTGTCAGTGTGCTTGTGTCGGTACACGTGCATTTGTTTGGAGCCAAAGACGAGCGCACAACTGTACAAACTGAAAATGATGAAACCACCCAGGCAGAGAAAACTGGGGTCGGTTTAATTTAGCTGCCAGAGAAAGGTTTTGTTTTTTCTTAAGCCTCTTTTACATTTGTTTTGTTCAGCTCAGTTCATCCAAGAAAAGCCTTTTTTTGTTGTTGTTGTTGTTAGCCTGCATTTGTGTCCCTTCTCTTGATAGGCAGGTGTCGTTTTGTTCCTCTAGACTCCACCGACTCTCTCCCTGCTCAAACCGTGACCTGCTTTGCCAGTGTAGTACAATACTCGCTCTCCCAACAAAGAAGGAGATACCTGCTGATCCCATCTGGCGTCAGGTTTTAGAGAAAGCAGTAAATAGGCAAGTCACACCCGTCTAAAACTGCCCTGTTGCCCTGCGTGACGGCCTGTCTTCGGTGGCACAGCTGGCGTCTTCCTCTGGGAGTCACCCAAACTGGCATCATGCATGTCCATGTGGGGACTTCTCATGCCAGCTGTCAGCCCTTTTGTAGGTGGCTCTGTTAGTCTGGAATGACTGACTCTCTGAATATGCGGTTCTGCAATAGCTGGCATTTTCTACCACACCCCATCTGTATCTAATATTTAAGAGAGCCACAGAGCTGCAGATAAATTGTCTTTCCATGTTTGCAGAAAATCACAAAATTGGAATTCTGCTAACACCCTATTGTGAAAGAAAGCACAGCAGGGTCTGCTCTGATTTACTATATGCATGTTGTCATTGTGTGTTTTGACTTGATCATGCAGGATTTCAGGGATTGCCCCCTGGTGGTTGCTCGTGGTAGAGATAACATGCTGGAAGCTCTCATGTCTATTGATTGCATTCCTGCTTTTGACTGGTTAGAATCAATTAGCACTAGTTACTGAGTTTATCTGGTCAATACTCCTGTTTCTTCTGTGTTTTATCTACTTATTTGTTAGCATGTTTCCTGCAGTACAAGCTCAGTCGTGTTTTTGTGCATGTCAATATAAAGGACATCATTCTAATACTGGCTAAACTTAAGGAGTCCTTCCAACATTAAAATATCATCACTGCATTTTTTTTTAATTTTTTTTTTAGCGCCAGAACAGTTTGTCGATACATTGATCAGCTGATCAAAAGGAAAGTCATCAAAAAAATGCAATTTTGGGGTTTTATTTTCTTCTCTGTTGAGGATTTGCTGCTTATATGTATATTTTCTGTGCAATAGAAGTATAGTTGAGTTTTCTGGACCCCGTTTTGGGGTTTTTGTCAAGCCGACCTGGACTTGTGGGGAGAAAAAGAATCTGATCGGCAGGGCAGACCAAATGTTATTGTTAATATCACAGTGATCCTTTGAGTGTATTTTTACTTTTCACTATGCAATGTGGGTTGTTGCTGTTTTGTGCTTTGGTGAGAAGCAACAACAAAGAAGCTTTATACATGCCTGACCCTTTGTAGCTCTTCAGTGTCGGTGCATTCTGACCTCTTGTCAAACCGGCCCATGTCTCCATGTCTCCCCACCCGCCTATGTATCCCTGCCCCTCTGTTAGCACCCTGCTGCCCCTGGCACTCAGTGCCACACAGACACCTGTCCTCATTAGTCCATGCATGCCTGCCAGTCCCCGCCCCCTCACCCCAATCAAGCCTCACTGTGTGCTTTTTTTTTTTTTTTTTTTTTTTTTTTTTTTTTTTTCAGGGTTGGTGGTTTTTCATGACCTTTCATGATTTGCCTGTACCCATCTGACTGGTTTACTCTCACAATGACTCAGTCGAGTCACAAATTCTGACTTATTGCAGACACGATTCAAGCATCTCTGTTCTATTCTTATCTCCTTAATTACACATTTTCACTTTACCTCAACTTAACTGTGCTGCCATTTTTTCCCAAGCTGCTTCTTACTTATTTATCCCCCCCACCACCACCGCCAACAGAACAATGACAACGAGACACCGCTGCACTGTGCCGCCCAGTACGGCCACTCTCGGGTGGTGCGGCTGCTGCTGGAGGAACTCACTGATCCCACCATGAGGAATAACAAGTTTGAGACTCCGCTGGACCTGGCAGCACTGTACGGCCGCCTGGAGGTTGTCAAACTGCTGCTCAGTGCCCATCCTAATCTGCTCAGCTGCAACACCAAGAAACACACACCACTACACCTGGCCTCTCGCAACGGACACCTACCCGTAGTGGAGGTGTTACTAGATGCTGGAATGGACATTAACTATGAGGTATGTGCATGTGTTGTTTTTGTTTTTTCTGATGTATAGTTACTTATATATTTCTTTTTACTGAAAAACTTCTGTTTGCAAGTGTTTCTTAACATACTTTCATGGCCCAAATCATGTTAGGCAACTTAATCTGTCCTTGCAGCACTTCCTCTTGCTACTTCCTACTAAAGCTATGAGATTAAATGTAAAATTCTTAAGCTCTCAGTTTGCAAAGGAACTGTTGTAGTAAGGCCAGCGCAAAGCAGAGCCGGCCTTGCTCCCCCTGGTGGGCCCTAGAGCTCTGGCTCTGTATCAAACTGTGCCACCCGTCTGTCTGGAGAGCCTTTCTCTGTCCTTTTTTCCTCTGAATAAAAGATGTGGAGACTATTCAGCTTCCTTTAGGCTCTGCATCCGGCAGGACTTTAATTAGCATGGCCCTGTGAGCTGGAAAATGATCTGCTTTGATTTCTCAACCACATAATTGTCAGTTCAAGAAGTGGACCAAGTAGTGGGCATGAATCCACACAACATGCGCTACGTATTTTACTAAAGTGTTGGTGCTGGAACAGAACTGCTATATTCTGTAGTCTAATTTTTTGGTAATAACATAGGAAATATTAAGAACTTCTGTCTATTATGTTTCTCATAAATTCGTATGCTTTTTCATTTTCTTTCCTGCTCAGACAGAGAAAGGCAGTGCACTCCACGAAGCCGCTCTGTTTGGGAAGACTGATGTGGTGCAGAAGCTTCTCTGTGCAGGTCAGAACGTAGAGCCCTAAATCTACATAACTACCATGTATTTAGGAAAGACACGTACTTAGCACATGACTGTTACTGTTGTCGTTTCCCAGGGATCGACGTGAACATTGTCGACCAGAAGGGCCTGACAGCGCTGGACATTGTCAAGGACATGCCCTCTAAGAAAAGCAAACAGATAGCTGCCCTGATCCTTGGTAAAGACCAAATGAGCACATACAGAGCTCCAGTGGGAATTATTCTCTTATTTATATCACATGAAACAGCTGCGATACAATCTCTCGTTTGTTCCAGGTCATATGACTGGAAAACCCCCTGATATTGACCTTCCCCCTCCACCAGTGCCTCCACCTCAGGAGAGCCCAAGCCCACGGAAAAAGGGTAAGATTTATCGGGAGTCTCCTGTGAGAGATAGTGGGTGATTTTTGCCTTCGCAGCAGCAAATCTTTAAGCAGAAGAAAAAAACCACTGTGCAGGAAAGTATGACGATAGTTTACCCATTACTTTGACTTGAGAACTTGTTTTTGCTTCAATCTTTATCCATTTTGACTTGCAGGTGACCTGGAGAAAGTCTGTGAGCTAATCTCGGGGCTGGCCCTGGGGCCCGAGGAGGAGAGCCCTTATGAAGCTCTGTTTGAGGCCACTTCTTGCCACTCTTTAGACAGCCTCACCAGTGGGAAGTCCTCTGACAGAGACTCGGGAAGGCCTGATAGTGAAGCTGGAAAGGTCAGCAGTTTCTGATTTTTTTTTTTTGATTTTTTTAAAGATGTTTTTAGTTGAAAAAACCAATACATAAACTTATAAAACTTGTGCATACCAAGACATAGAGTGAGGCACTGAAATGCTGAACTCCCACTAGAGGGAGATGGTGATCCTCTCTTCTTATGACAGTGCTACAAAAATCCACCAGTGTTACTTTTCTTGTGTTTCAGTGTAGGTTTGCATGTATCTTTTAATACTGATAATGAATTGATTACTTTTTATTACATCTTGTATTGCTGACGTACAGAAAGATCGCCTGGTTCTCTCGTCACATCCTGGACCTGGTAATGAAGAGGAGGTAAGCTCAGAGGTAAGGAAGTAAAGCTGTATTCACATGGTGATAGTGGTCTAGTGATAGCTGTGGACATCATCTATGATCTTAATCCCATGCAAATCAACCACTGAATCTGCTTTTTAAAGAAAAAAATGTACGTATGCAAATTTGGATAGTTTTTAAGGAGAATTTGGATAAATACACTACATGGATAACCATTCAAGAGATGAAATTGTTAGCTTGCATTGTACGAATTGGTAAGAAGCATTTTGCTGTCTTTCATTAGGCTCACAATTATCTGGCAGGATATTAATAGTAGCATGATTACACAGACACGAGTAAATCACATCAAGTCCCCCTGGTAATACAAATCCTATGCGAATAGGTCAGAGGTCATACAGCCAGCAGAAACGGTTGCCATTTAACGCCACAGATGCTCACACGCGCACATGTAGCTGTTTGCAAATGGTCGTGACAGACTACTTTTAAAAGTTAATGCCACTGAAAAGTTAGACATGTTTTCTAACACTATGACACAGGGGCTGCTGGGAAAATAACAATCTGTCACTGAGGATGCCGGTTTCATCTTAGCTACCACCCTTTTCATTTCCTTCAGCGCTGCTACTCAGTTCAAATGGCTTCTTAAGAAATACTCAGCTGAGTGCAGAGTGGAGCACATGTAATAGGAAAGCGGAATTGGAAAAGGCAGCGTCCGAGAACCGTTCTGGTCTAAACCGTTGCTGATCATAGTGGGCATATTGTGGATGTTTCATGAAGGGTTTCCTATTGTAAACAAATATTTTCACACAACTGCCTCGTAATTTCTAACCCGCTACTTCTTTTTCACCTTTAATCCTTTGACTTTTCTGCAGGCCCTGTATACTAGCAGCAGTGCTGATGAGAAAAGGGAGCCAGCGGAGGAGGAGGATCACACATATGAGTTGTTGCTGACTGCAGAGACAAAAATCCCACCACCACCTAGCCATGAGCCCCACTCATATAAAGGTAATTGTGTTTATTCAGTACAAAAAACAAGTAACATTTCGAAAAGGCATATTTTTCCAGCAATTCTTTTTGTTTGTGCTTTACGAAGATATTTCTTGGTAAAATGCAGTCACTCTACCTTGTTATATCTGCATATAAATCAGGAGGTCCTTCGTTCCTGACGTGAATACGGGAGAGCTCTGTCTCTCAGGCTCTTTTGCTGCTGTTTGATCGCAACAGAGCCTCAGCAGACCCTCCTCAGTTGTGGCTGCTGAATGGCACTGCATGTAATTGGATTAAATGGGATTAAATTAGGAGGCAATTTTGATCCCTAGTTGTTGATGTAGATGTTTTAAAACCGTACCCTTGGGACCTTTCAGCTTAGTCAGCTTGACTATCATTCAAAGAAAACTGGGCTGAAGTGTTGGAGTCTAATTGTGGATGTCATCGGGCCTTCCAGATGGAAATGATGGTGTTATAAAAAAAGAATAACTTACTGTGTTTTTTTTGGGGGGGGAGGGGGTTGTTGAATTGGACAGAAATGTTAAATGATTAGTTTTTCATCAGTTTTAAAACTGCTCTATCATGTCTCTGTACTCGGTGCTGTTTAAAAGGCAGGAAGATTAATCTGAAGTCTGTCTGACGCTTAGACCGATAATGGCGGCATGCATAATACATGATTTTATTATCCATCACTTTGACATTCTCAGCGTAATGTCTCTTCTGAAAGTCAGAACCAACAATGGATTTTCTGTAACTCTTAGTTAACCAACGTTTGTTTTCTTGTCTCCTTAGATGACAATACCACTATACAGTCTTCCAACAGTGTCCTACCTCAGGTAAACTCTTTTGTTCATGTACTATAACTGCTTCAAAAATAGGTTGCTATTTGAATACTAAAATTATAGGATTGTACCCTAGTTGCTGCACTGTATGTGGAAGTATCCTACTATGAGTTGTGAAAAGTAATTCGGTCACTAGCCCAAGCATTGTAGACCATCATGCGCTTGTGGAAGTAAAAATGACAGAACTGCTGCAAAGCATCATATCAGCCCTGACGTTACTTCTGGTAGGCCGAAGAGTCAAGCTGAGCCAGCAGCCCTGTATTGACAGTCCGAGTCCCACATGCACAGACAGAGTTAACTGGTGGTTTTCAGTTGGTGATAGATGTGAGGTGGACAAAGCATACATGGAATTAAAATCTACATGAATGTAGTAGTAAAATATGACCAGTCTGGTCCATCCATTGATGCCTGTCTGATCTGTACGAGGGCTTAACATGTATACATGTGGAAAGGCACGAAACTTGCCATATATATGCAACTGCAGAGGAAATAACAATCCTACTTTGACTAAAGTGGTCCTGACAGAATGTTTGAGAAATTATACTGTATAAAAATGCATGATTACAGCTGTCTAATTTGTATATTAAGAAGTATCTGGAGGGTTTTTTTTTTTTTTTTTTTTTTTTTTTTTTTTTTGACAACAAGCTTCCTATATACTGGTTTGAAGAGTGAATGAGTGGATAATTTTTGACCCAACCCAAGTGATGATAGCAGGTTTTAAAATTAAGGTGACGGTCTCTTCAGAGTCAGAAACTGAGTCATATGTTAGCAGAAGGCAGAAGTCATCTTAAACGGCCCCTGATAATAGTGCGTCTTAATGTTGTAAATCTACCTACTTTATTTATTGCCATTGTCTTTTTTTTATTGCCCTTTGATATCTATCATCCAGTTAGCAGCATTTTATTATTGCTGTCAACCACCTCTACAGCCCCTCTGCTGCACACAGTATATACTTGTGTCTTAATTTGCAAGCTCCTATTAAGTTGGCTGTGCTTCTGACCTGCCTGATGATGATGATGATGATGATGATGATGATGATAATAATAATCTTTTAGTAGTAATGCAGTTGATCAGGGAGGGTATGTCTTCAGGATAATAAGCAGGATAATTAGTCTGGCTTTTAGTTATTTGCTAACTGGGCTTCAGACGAGCTACTATGATTGTTTAGAATCACAGAAAATGTTTTTATCATCTGTTCTTTCTTGCTGTCCTACTTTAGCATAAACCTTCTGCCCCAAACAACCTTAGAGCCCCAAGTAAGACGAAAGACACCTTGCACCCTCCAGGAAGAGTGGGCCCAGGGGTGCCGGGAGGTGAGTACGGTCACTGTCCTCAGGTTTTAGATACCTAATAAGGTACAACAACTGCTGCTGGTAAAGCTGCGTGAGGGTAAGGAAAGATGGACCTGACACATCAGACTTGGAAAATTACAAGCCAAGCATGTCAATGAAATAGGAGAAATGCATCTCAGTTTGATGCATTTGAGATAGGCTGGCTTGGATTAGCGCAGCCGGGGAAGTGCACGATTGGTATTCTCGGGCAGCAGAGGGGATTTGGCTCGTCAGGGGCAGGTTGACTGACATTCGTTGGCGAGTGGGTTAGACTCGTTTCATTGCCAATGTGAAACTGAATTCTTGATCAGATCGTGACATTCCTATCTTAGATCCACATCCCCGCCTAAAGCTGGATATGCCACTTCATCCAGTCAGGCACGGAGCAGAGATGAGGAGTATAGCTGCTGGGTTTTTGCTGATACATATACAGATGTCTTCATTGAATAAATTGAGTTTTGGCACGTGTTTGGAAACAACCTGCAAAAAGAAGCCAGTTAGGCTTCTCGAGTTGTTTTTATGTAATTTCACCACGTAAAAAATTATTGGCCAGCTGCAGTAACATTAGTCTGTCTGTTTGAGACTTCTCTGACTTAAAATAAACACAAATTGAAAAACGGAAAATAAGAGTGTGATCTTATTTGTTATAATTGCTTATATGAATTGGAAATACATTTTTAGCATCTTTATTCGCATATTCAGTGTTTCTGTCGTGTCACTGTTCCTCTTTGAGTTGATGTAAAAAACCACTGAACAGCTGGCCCCTCAGATGGTTACCGTAATGAGTTTAAACATTAAAATGTTATTAATTTTCTACAAGAGCAGTAATTCTTTTTTAACAAAGCTCAAGGATTAGCAACTTTAAAGTTTAAAACACACGGCAAAATGTTGTTCATTTCATTTTTTTGGTTCCTTTTTATATTTGGGAACTCTAAAGTTATTCTCTTCATTTCATTTGTCAAAACCACAAATTTGGTTTCTACTTAAATAACCCTGTCTCTGACCTGTTTCCTCTTTACTTTTTGAGGTTTTGCAGATCAGCCACTCAAACCTGGTTCCTATTTTATGTATTACATAAACCCAGGCAGTCGGCGGAGGCTAAATATTTAGCTTTGTTCATGTTGATGTGATCTTTCTTGTAACTTATGTGGTCTATGGACGGTCAGTGACCAAACCTCAGCAATCTCTGTGGCAGGTGGAGGACAGATGCCAAGTCAACGATATATGGTGTTTAATGTCTGTCTTCAAACACATTCCTCCTGCTCTCAGCAGCAATCCACATTTTCGCAACAGACCTACTGCTGCTGATGTATTATAGCGTTTCCAAAGCAGTACCTGTAAGATCAGAAGTTTCTCCACAGATAATAATAAAAGAATAATAATAAATTTTAAAAACACCCATTTAACTTAAATATTACGCTGTTATGAGCAACGTTGGTGAGGAAATAAACCTCAAAGTATACATGCTGTTCCATTAGTTCACAACCAGAGTGCAGTGTCGTTTCTGTAGTTTTGATACTTAGCTAAAGTTGTTTGTGCTGCTTTTATGAACTGTAGCACATCAAAGGATAGATGTAAGGAAGTTAAGCACCTGTGTGTTTGTCACACTTCTTCTGCATCATTATATATGATGCTATGTGGAGCCCAACCGATCAGTGGGGCCGATTATATTGACTGATAAACAATAATTTAAAAGAACTAAAGAAGGGATGTAAGAAACAGCCTTGAACCATGTAATAGGTGTTGATGTTGTATAGTTTGTCCAGGGCTGGGCACTTTGCAGTGTATAAAATGATCTTTTATGGGGGAGGCTCAATGCGCTGCAGTGAGTTAAATATGATCAAATTATGTACTTTAATACAAATGTCCCCATGTCATAGCCTTAGTACCTTGTAGTTGTGCTGCAGTGCACTACCAAGAGTTTAAAATGTCTTTGAAACTCAAACAGAATGACTTTGGATTGTGTAGCTAGTGAAGTAACAACCAGCACTGATTCCACAGCATCTGCAATCCAAACATGACATCATCAGGGCGATATGGAGCTGTCGCTGCCAAATGAAATAAACACCCCACGTCTGTGGTGACTTCACCCAATATAAAAGAGTTGCAAAAACATCAGATTGCATGTGTGCGGGTTTTCCATCCTAGAACTGTATAGAAAGGGGCTCCGGTGGTCTTTGCAAGGGTTAACACCACGTGAGTTTGTTGGAAGCACATGGATGTGATCATAGGGCGTTCACGCTCCCTAGCTGCCAAGGAGAGGGTGGGTGTTTGGCTGTGATCTTGACATATGTGTGCAGTACACTCACTCACCCACACACAAAACACCCCCCAACGCACACACACTTTTCCCAAGCTTGTGAAAAGGGAGTTTAGGGTGTTGTTTGGCACACTCCCTCCCTGGAAATGATCCCTGAAATAGTACTGAGGTAGTTTGGTGTAAATAATTCTTTTCCTATACTGATAAAATGACTGCACTGGGCACATTTTTGGCAGGAAGCTGTTTTGTGAAGGACACAAAGTGCTGCAACAGGTCACTACTTTTCTTGTGGTGTCTCTGCCCCAGATTCCCTGTCACCAAACACTCCTGACCCTTGTCACCCTGGCAGAGACCACACAAGCCCACACACTCCCGCACCATGTGTCACAGGACTAATTATCAGAAGTCTGGCTGCTGGAGGACAGGGTGATTCAAATTTCCATTCCTCGCCCTCCGTTAGGCGCTAGAATTAGAAGCTAGAAAACACAGAGGGCGCACACTTTAAACAACAAAACACGTCACTGCAGTTGAAGAAGACAGGCTCGGCACGAGTTAGTTTTTTTTCTTTTTCCCTCAAAGCAACATATCGATTACAACAGGTACTATCAAGCTGTGGCTGATTTGATTGCGGAAAATAGGCTTAGGTGGCAGTAAGTCCTTGGGAGAGGGGAGGAGGAAAAAATCTCATTGTTCTTTGTTGCACTTGCCATTGAGTCTCATTAAGGAGTCGTTTTTTTGTTGGAGAAGACGGCAAACAGTAAGTTTCACTCCTCTTTGTGATATTTGTTGTGTTGTATTCATTTTTCTCTGGCATACACTCTTGGAATTTATGTGTAGGTTTGTTTGAAAGTTTAGTTTAGTCGGAAACTCTGGGACATTCTCAGTGTTATGTCATTTTAGGAAAACTGGCCTAACAGACAAGTAGGCCTCTGTGATGAGGGCTGTTCACAGAGATGACTTGCTTCAACTCCCTGTTGCAAAATACAGGCATTCAGGCACCAGCAGATAGCTGTCAGACGGCTACAAGCTGAGTTTGGAATTCAGGAGTCATTTCTCCAGCCAACATACGCCTTTTCTTTGCTCCATCTCTTCTCTCTCCCCCTTTTTCTCTTCGTCACTCCTGGTAGGAAACAATTACAGATCTGTTTCAGGGCTTGTGTGGGTGGTTTCTTATTAGCCACACTGTAAGGATCAGCCCCTCAGTTGGAAGTCTACTTTCCAGCCCTCACAGACTGCTTTCCTTCTTCACTGACTTTGTCTATTCCCTGTCTCTTTGTCTAGATAACTCACAGCTCGGCCAGGACCAGGAAGCAGGTGTACCAGAGCAGTTCACAGGCCTCCTACACGGATCTTCTCCTGTCTTTGAGAGCCGTGAGGAGTCCTTCCGGCTTCCAGGTGTTCTGCCACCCAATCAAGACCAGCCAGAAACAAAAAAGAGGGCCAAAGCTAAAGAGGGAGTAACGGCAGCTGCGCCGCCACCTAGCCGTCCTAGCATGGCCGCCATCCTGACAGACTGTGATCCAAAAGCAATTTATGCTACTGTGAACAAGGAACCCAGGGACTCTGTGGCTGGTGCTGTATCTGCTGTCAAGATGCGCCCTCCTGGGGACCTGAAGCTGGCACGCAGCCTGTCCAAGTCTGACTCAGACTTGCTCGTGTCGCCTCCTAATGAAGAGGAAGGAGGATTGGGAAACCGTAGCGAGTCTGTTTCTAACTGTAGCATGGCTAAGAAGAGACTTGAGAAATCTCCCTCTTTCACCTCAGAATGGGATGAGGTAAGTGTTTCCGCTTGAAATATTTAAGACACACACGGGGGGGAGGCTTTAGTGTCTGTACTGTTTAGTGTTTATGCATGTACAACCAAATATTGTATAATGCAGGCCAGTAAATAATAATTACATGTTTCACAGATGTTTAACATGAATAAAGGTGACCTTTTTCACACTAATGTAACTGCAAGGTAGCAGAGTGACAGCAGGTGAAACCACAGACTGTATATTAAAGATGGATGTAGCCACCGTGACATCAGTCACCGGTTTCTGGACTCTGCATTTTGAAGCCTCGGTGTTAGTGTTTAGGCTGTTGCGATGTTATTGCCATAACCTGCACAGGTAAAAGGCACAGACACGTGTATGTGCTAGGTAACAGACTCATTCATTATTAGAAGAATTCCACTCGTCCCAATTGTAACGTGTAAAAACAAACCTAATCTGGAGATCTTTGTTTATAAAACATTTGTCATGAATCCCATTGGATGGAAAAGATTAATATTGTGTGCATAAGGTTAATATAGTTCAAAAATGTATTGACATTCACATTATTGGACACGGTTTTTAAGCAAGTACAAAAGTTGACTTGTTTTGTTTAACAAGGCCCGCCTGATGCCTCATCATGCAATTTAGGTCAAAACTTGTCTGGAACAAACTTTTTGGCAAAACAGTAAATGATGGAATATATCTTTGCACATATTTGCATTAGTACATTTCTTTTGTTAAAAAACTGCAGTGTATAAAAATATTTTCAGAATTCTGTGTTTAAAACTTTTTTTTTTTTCCCCAAATTTGTCTCAATCCCACTATGTGTTAGTATCACAGAGCATATTCACATCTAAATATATTCCCCGTGCATGCAGCGCTTTAATGTTTTGTCTGGGATGTAGATAAAGAGCTGAGTAGAGACACAGCGGGAAGAGATTAGAGAAGACAAGAAGATGGGGATAAAACAACTGAGAGACTGGAAAAAATAAGACAAGAGACAGAGATTTGGAAATTGAGATTCAGAGAAGACGTGGAAGCCGTAGATCCGTTTCTTCGGCTCTTGCCTCCTCCTGTTGTAAAGACGTGAAACTCCGACCTGAATCTCTATAGAGACTGACAACCCGTCAGAACACAGAAAAAACACACAGCTAAACAAATACAGTATAGAACCCTTCCTTTTCAGAGTTTGTTAGATTTTACTCTTTTAAGAAACACAAGTTACCAAGAAGGTATAAGTTTTATAAACCTTGGTTTTTAGTATTGCAGTCATTAAACAGCCACACAAGATACAGCTGGCATGGTTTCCTCATTGGCTCTTTTACCATTATCCTAAAACAATCATCTTATTGTTGGCAGAATTAAAGAAATCCTCTGTAAGCTTCTCAGTTAAGTTTTGCATAAGCTGTCCACTAGCCTCTCAGTAATTTTCCCTTGTTCTGTTTGTGTTCTGCTCCATTTCTGTTACTGATAACTGCACTGCTACACACAGTCCAGAAGTGACTTGTAGATTTTATTTGTGATGCCTGTCCATCCTGAGCAAATCGCAGGCTCGGATAGCACTAATGCTTTCTCTTCCCACAGTGAGGAGCTCATGTTGCTGCCTAGTGTTCCTTTACATGACCCTCTCAGAACAACCACAGTGAGCTAATTGCAGATTTGAGGTCGATGTCTTGGCTACTACGGGCCATGGTTTGCATGCAGGTGGTCAGTTTTTAGACGCTGCCAACTTATGCCACCGATACAGTAATTACACCTTGGTGTGCTGCGATTCTGAAGTTTTTAAGAATCTCTTTTTTTTTTTTTTTTTTTCTGTTCATGTGTGAGACTGCACACAAGCAATCTGGATTATGCGTCATTGTTGCAACCAGTGCAATTTATGTCCTCGTCATTAGATGCTGGTATGTGACTGTTGTCTGACAAAGTCATACATACTTATGTTGTGTTGATGTTGCTGCAGTTTATTGCTCACGATTAGATCATGATAAAAAATATGGCACCAGCCCGCAGAGGGGATACTGTAGTTCAAAACATCTTTGATGTGCATTTATGGAAGGAACAGACACAATATTGGCTCTATATGGAAATACTGCTGTCAACACTTTCATCTTTAGCTGCTTTGGGAAGGATAGCGGCTCGAGGCCTTGTACATGTGCTTTATCCAAGTTCAACAGGCTTTTCTATCATGAGAAAGATCACAGCTGCCTTCCACTATGGTAATATGACTCATTCTGGGATAACCTTGCTGTTGAGCTTTTATGTATGGGAGCACTCCAAAGAGGGTTTGTTCTTGAGCTATTTCAGCATTTGCAGGCATTACTTTAGTTTATAGTTTTGTCAAAGGCTGCCAAGGAAACACTCGTGGAAAATGACTGACCTCTGGTATTCGTCTGTGTGCAGCCGAGTGAATGCCTCGCCTCGATTCAAGTGTACTAGACCATGTTTTCTCAGCTTTAGCCAGTAGGAACTGTTCTGTAATATCCTGAACACTAAGTGAACACTTACCTGCTCTCTTATTCACAAGGGGTCACCACAGTGGATGGATCCACAGACTTTAAATTATTGACGCAATCCTCAAGGATTAGAGGGCTGCTATTTATGTATCTTAATCAGATGCAAGGCCTTCAGCTGAGCCATCAGGTGATTTCTGTGAGCATTATGGTCAGCTGATTGCAGCTGAGTTAGATTTTTGTGCCAGCCTCAGCGTGTCAATCTCACTAAATGTGGGTGTTTTCTAAAATTGGTGTGGTTCCAAAACCTCAGAAACCACATCTGCTACATAATATCTTGTAATTGGGTCACACCAGTCCCAGCATCACTAACTTTTAATAGTTTAAACCAGTTAAATGGTAACTAACCACTAAAGTTCAATTTAAAAGGATTATGATTTATTTAAAAAAGACTGGTTAGCAATATATAGGGGCCTATAGGGACTGGTTTGTTTCTTTGTTTGTTTTTACATAAGATGATTCCATAAACATTCACCAAAAGGGTCCCTTATCAAATGTACTAACTGTTTTAGTTTTAAAATCAACATGTCAATGCCCTCTGGTGGGCAAACTGTGCATTATTGTCTCTGATTGTATCATACCTGCCTGGCTGCCCAGTTCTTGCGATTTCTGGTTGCTGATTGGCCGACATATATGCACCACCAATTTATACCTGTCGTAACGTAGCATTACCATTTGGATCTAGTGGTATTTTTGTAATTCAGTCACAAACTATGACAAATACTAATGGAAATGTGCCATAGCCAAAAGTGTAATGATGACTATTTAAAAGTCAGACATCCAGAGGTTTTGCACATTGTCTTCCTTTTCCAGAATGTGGCGTAGTGGGTAATGAGCTCAATCAAGTATGTGCTTGGATCTTTTATTTCCCTTTAAAGTCTGGTCACTGGCAGGGCACTGTTCATTCTAATTATCTAGTTTAATGAACACCTCACCACCTCAGACTGCACCTGAGGGATGTGGCCCGTGAGAGAGTGACAGGATTAAGCCAGCTGTGACATTACTTGGCTATTGGAGCTTTCTGCTCTTCCTAGATATCCTCAGCAGCTCACAATAATCCTGGAGCTCCCGAGTCCTGTTGTATTCTCCCCGGTGCTTAGAGAAAGATGAAGTAAACAGACTAAACGTGGCCTAAGAGGAGGAGCCAAAACAAACTGCATTTCTTTGGCAGGAGAATAGATGGTGATATTGGTTCCAAACTGAAAAAATAGCTCTGGTCTGCTAAAAGGAGATGAACTTGAAGCAGTGCCCCCATTTCCTGTATGCGCCATGTAAGTGTATTTTACCAAGGGAACTGGGCAGCTTTGAGTTCATCTGAATGTCTGGAAGCTTTTTAAAAAATCATTAAGTTGGCTGCTGGCAGAGAGCTGCCCTCTGTTAATTTCATTCTTCTCTTGGGAATAAATTTTATTTACTCTCCAGTCATACAGCCAGACACGTAATAAAATTGCTTTAGGGCTCTACTACCTAGACGGTGGACCTTAAAAATATAGATATATATTTTTCTTTCTCTTTTGCTATCAGTGGTGCTACGGAATAAAATGTGTTCGTACTCCCTAATATTGCTAATATCAGCCTCTGATGGAGCTCACACATGCACAGGTTCCTTGTCAGCACATGTACTTCGATGTAGAAAGTTAAAATTTAAAATACAAGCCCCAAAAACAAAAAAAAAATGAAAACAAATGATGCTTTGTAGAGTTAACCACTACCCTGCTTGCACAGTTTTCCATAACAATAACACCATGTTTTAGTACTTTTTGAAAGCATGCTGAATCGCATAGGAATTTTCAATTCGGTTGATCGTGACTAGATGTTTATTAGAGGCCTTGGTTGGCTGGTAAGCTTCTAAAAGCCTTTGAAAAATTCCAATTTTTGAGCCTTACTTAAAGTTAATGAACCCGGAACGCTTTTTTTCTTTTCACATGAATAGTGATTTAGATGGCGGTGAGTTCTCTGCTCAAACCAAAGCGCAAGAGCTCATTTTTTTTCCTCTCTCTTTTTCCTTTCAGGGAATAAGCCTGCGTCTGCTTGAAATAGAAATATTCACACCAGCGATTTAAAGTGCATAGCAAATGAGAGGAGTGTGTGGGAAATGCAGTAAAAGTTTCATTGGGCGTATCCTTGCCTACACTTTCTTACTGATGTTGGGAGTGCCCCCTGAAAATTGAAAACTCCCTTTTCTTTTCACTTTCTCTCTCTCTCGCTGCATTCTCTTCAGCCCTTGTCTCTCCATCGGCAGTGTTTGCTTACTCTTGCTTTCTCTGATGTGCTGTGGCAGCCATCTTGCCGGTCACGACTGGCTGCTCTGGAGCACTCTACAGAGCTGCGTGACAGCATTTGGGGTCCCTGGACATTACCAAACCCACCCCCAAGTGCATGGACACACCTCTTCTAAAAACATCTTCTTTTTTTTTTCTTCCTTTTTAATCTGGTTTGTAAAATATTCTGGTTCTCACACCCTCTTCCCCTTCCTTTCAGTATCGTTCCTAGTCATCACCCCTCTTTCTCAACAAGACAAACCCTTGGATGCACTGCCTCGGGTTTCAAGACAAGGAGATTTGACTTGCATGAGGTCTTGGCCTATGCATCTCTCCTTTTAAGGCGCTCTCAGTGTGTGTGCATGTGTGTAAAGCGCATGCTAATGTGGGTTGGTGTTGGTCCTTGCAATCAGACTGAAGATGACAATCCAGGGGGGCACATTGTGTGAGCCAGCACTCTGAGCTCCACAGATGGAAGGAGAGATAAGGAGACGGCGAGCTTTAGACAGAGACAGGAGAGGGCCGCTATCCACTTCCACACTTCACTTTTTAACTTCGTTTTCGATTCGCACCTCACAGATCCAATAGCCACTATGAAACCAGCTTTTGTGAGTATTGATTCCCTTACAGGCAGCAGCTCTGCTAGAGGCTCATTAATCTTGTCTACATGCTATGACTGAACAGAATGAGAAAATAATGAATGCTTTTTAGCATTTCTGTGGATATTATATTTCTTTTAAAGCCTTTCTGATTGGTATTCACTGATTGAAGCTGGTTGCTTTATTGATAAAGAAATAAAAGGGAGACAAAGTGAGGCGCACACCCAGATTATCCTGCCCTTTCTTCAAAAACCTTGTCCTCTCTGATGTTTTTAAGCCATGCATCATTTTCTTTGCTCTCTTTTTCTTTTTAATCCATGTTCATGGGATCATTAAGGGTTTGGCTATGCGTTGGTTTTGTGTCCTCATTGTTTGCTAAGCAGTTTCATGTGTTTGACTGGCTGAGATCAAACCAAACTGTGGGTGTGTGTCAGAGCTCCAGTGCAGCCAGCGAGGTAAATCTATTCTCTGATCCGCACCAGGGGGAGAACACAGGAGAGCCACGGGGGGCTGACGCATGCAGCCACTGCTTGGTATAACTCTTATAATTATTTGCAAAGGAATGCCCTTCCTGTTTTAAGTTTAACTGGGAATATTTATGTGTAATGCGGAATGAGTGGTCAAGGTTTCCCAGAGGGGACGTTGTTCATAAAAACATAAGCATGACATTGGGCTATTTCAGGAGGATGTTCATGGGGCTGCTGACAGTGTTTTGTCCCACTGTGGCATTGAGGTCTTGGCACCTGCTACAAACAGGGTTGTGTTTGTGTTCCCCTTGATGCTTTTCACTAGTCCGTAGTTTTCGTCCAACCCTTGTTTTGGTGCCAGCTTGCCAATTTGAGGCTGGTGGTCTGGGCACACGATCTCTGCTGCAGCCTTTTGTTTCACCCTCTACACACTGCCAGGCGTCCTTTAGCTCTGCCGCCACCCTTTCTCTCGGCTTTAGTTGGGCATTGTTCAAGGCTGTTAATGAAAAGACAGTTTGTGTTTTCACATCCCGGTAGGACAGCGGACCCGTTATTCTGCTAAGTCACCTCAGGGCAGCAGGCCTACTGTGAGGAGCATGATAAATGGCTTCATGCGCCTTTAATCTCACCCTGACCATTTCGCAACACTGCTGGCTCTTCAGCTGTTGACCTCCACCTCCTGGGTGACTTCTGACCCCTCTCATTGTACCCCTGTGCTCACAGTGAGGCTCTCTAACAATGGATGCCTCTCCATTTCAGTTCTCTGCATTGATTGAATCCTGCAGCACAAAAACACACCCATCTCTCCTCTCCTCTATTAATTCTCATGACACTGAGCATCCTAGTTCCTGACCATGAAATTCAGAAGCCTCTTCTTGCTGTGAATGTGATTTACTTTGAGGAAATCACTGGCTGGCATCCTCTGATAAGGATATATTTACCCAGCTCCAACACACCTACCTTTCTGGATAGCTGCCTTGAACTCTCATTGGACCAGCTAACATTCCCTTTTCCATTATGCTGGATAAGTGAGGCCAATACAGCAGGACTGAACATCGATGTGCTTTTTTTTGTTGTGATTTGTGTGTACGTTCATGTGTGTACATTTCTTTAAATAGGAAAAAAACGTCTGTGCTTTATCTTAAGTGACATTTTAAATGCATCCAGTTTATTTTGTTTATCCACAGTAGTGAGTATATTTTAAATTCTCCTTCAGTGTTTAAAAGTACAATGGCCTGTCTTATCTCCTGAATGGTGGCGTAAAAAACTTGGGCAGCTGAACTGTGTGTCAAAGATGCGATTGATGGGAGCATTATCCTCCCTCGAGTACAGACCTTGGCCACTTTAATGAGGCAAAGAGCACTGCCTTGTCTTCATTAACTCAGGTGCTGCTACTGCTTATGCATGTGTGTGATTTTACAGATTAGACCCCCAGTCGAGGCCAGCGCTCATCAGGGGCTTTCTAATTGCTTTTGTCCTGCCGAGGCCTAATAATTTAGTTTATTATGAGAGCAACATAAACCTGTCAAGATCAGTTTGATATCATAACTTAAGGAAAATAAGCAGCCATCCCTAGGTGAACAGAAACTCTAATGAAGATGTAGTTGGTTTGTGTTTTTCTCTTTTATTTCACCACTAGAAGAAAATCTAAGGAATCCAAGAAGCAACAGCAACTACATGCTGTTCATGTTAGAGCTATTCTTATTTTTTGGGGGGGGCATCTCTCCCCAGCATCATCCTTCTTTCCTAAAATGCTTCATACTAACTGAACCATCACCGTAGAAAAGTCTGAGCACACAATGTCTCACATGCTTTCAGTATGTGTGACATGCATCCAGAGACTCTCGTGTAAAGAGGAGGCAACTACTTTTGATCACTCATGTTTGCTCTTTGCTCAGCTAGAAGTTGTGTTCCCACTCCACCGTCAGCTTTCCTGTTTAACGACATAGAATGAACATGTGGACGGCAGTTATTTGTTGAGCTCGTGTGACTAATCTACCATCTGCCCAATATGCAGGACTCTAATCAAGAGTACGGTGACTTCACACTGGGCAGATGGATATCAAAAATAATGCCATTCTCTAACCGTCCTTTGTCTCACACCTCTTCTCGCCAAAACTTTGGCATTTTCCCTCTGCCGTATTGAGGACTGATGGTGAACATGAATGTTGAGAATGTGGACATGAGGAAGGAATTGTACTTTACACTGAGGCTGAGTGTGTGATCCTGAGCTTTTGTGTTTATATTTCTTCACTTCCTATGACTACACTGATTATTCATAGATCCAGTCATAACAGATACATTTGTTATGCACTAAACGTGTACGCTTTTCCATCTGGAATGGTGTTTCTTTCAATTTAGAATTTTTTAAATCTCCTGTCAAGAGTGTTTTTTGTGTGAAACAGGATGATTATAATAACACTGCCAGAGGATAGTTGGAACAGTGTGGATACACACTTTGAATGGGAAGAAAGCGAAACAAAACGATGAATTCTCTCTCAGCAGACACCGGCGACTTCTGACTCCCCAAAACAAAGAAGATCTAATTCCTCCGACAGCGTAAGATGTCAATCTTCTGGTCCTTTTGGGTTTTGGCTCTGTCCTCTACTGGGGCATTCTTTGTAGAGGTAGATGGGATCCTTTGAGGCTTTAGGAACCCTTTTGGAATAACCTTAACTCAGATTATTCATTTCTTTTTCTAAGTCCAGAAGCTTCAGTTTGTGACTGGGTTACCAGTCTGGCAGCAGCATACTAAAATAGATGCATCATTGTTCAACGTTAATATCTTTCTCTGCCCTTCTGACATTAATCTTCTAATTATGCACTATTTCACTGCTGAACATCCACCTGCTGATCGATGATGAAAAAAAACTGCTACTTTGGTTTTCCAGTGTCGCTTTATTATCTCATATATAATTATGCTAATGGGGTCATCAAATATGTCTGGGGGCTTTTTAAGGAGCGAGGACATTCAAATTCGGATAAAACTTCTCCAGCTGTAGTTTTATCTGTTCACTCTGAGTATGAGGCCATGTTGTATAAACTAAAGTAGTCAGAGTACCTGACAGGTGTGACAGCAGCACAGTCAGTCTCTCCGTTTGCATTGAATTCACTCCCAGTGTCCATGCATATTCAGCTGTGGGCCACTTTAAAGGGAACCACGATTCTGTGCTGTGGCAGATGTAATATTGCAGTTTCATGTCCCACTGCTGCTTCGCTTATGAATACATTTCTATGAAATGACAGTATTGTGTTTTTACAAGTCCATGAGCGGCATGTGCATGTGATGTGTGTATGTGCGTGACTTACTGTGATTGGAAACAAACTGCTGGTGATGTTCACATGCATTATGTCATGATGCATGAAATTACTGCAAGAAACGTCAGGTTTCTGGGCATCGTTTCAGCTGTAGCTTCTCACTCTCAGTCTTGCTGGGTTTTGAACCCTTTTTGTGTTTTGTCTACGACGCTTCAGTCGTCTTGAAACATTTGTTACAAGCATTGGTTTAAGCATCAAGACACAGTTAAACCTGCTCAAACTCTCTTCACTGAGAGCTTTATAAGTACATGGGAAGCTTAAACTACCAGACTTTGTTCTGTATTATTTTTCCAGACTTGTGCACGTTCTCTTTTAACTTGTTTATTACAATTATCCTTTTGTTTTTGACCTTATTAGAGTCAGACGGTAAGACCGGCATGCCAGTATAAAGCAGCATTTTTGTGCCTGTTGTCCCCTACGTGCAGTCAAGCCCTGGTTACTCATTTAATGTGGGACAATAGCAATGATTGTTTTAATGTGACCATAAATAGGATATAAAGGCACTCAACCGTCTCGGTCCTCAAGCTGTCCTTTAACATGTCTTTGCAAAATCACTGCAACCTAATTTTCTTCTTGCTGACGTACTCATCATTTGCTCTCACAGGGACAGTGTATTATTGCTTTAGGGGCTTTTCTCTGTATTTTTGCTGGTGAAAGGTGGTGGCCAAACTCTGATCACTCTTCCAAGCCCTTACATTTTGTTTTCTCCCCCCTCTGTTCCTGTCTTCAGATCGAGAAGATGATGACTATGATTGGTGCAGGCATTGATTTTTCCAGAGATCAGCAATACGCTACACCAGGTAGAGTATGAATACTAATATTGTTGCTTTTTCAAGCAAGTTAAAATGACTTAATTTATTTGTGAATTTGACACTTGTCAAGGAAACCTGAAGGAAAACAGGAAGAAATGAGTAGTTTTCCATTAGCTATTCATCTGTTTAATAAATGTGAGCAAAAGCACCTTGTATTAATTCATTATTTATCTTTTTGTGGGTGTGGATGTTAATGAAACGGCTGCCTTTATTGCCAAATAGTGGGCTTTGAGTGCTTGGAATTTGATTTATACTATAGTTATATTTATTAGATCCTCACCCTGAACCTTAAAAATATATTAAACAAGTGCATGGCAGTGATAGTAGAGAGGAGAGCTCTAAATACAGATTAGCGGGCGATCGTGGCTCAAGAGTTGGGAGGTCGCCTTGTAATTGGAAGGTTGCTGGTTCGAGCCCTGGCTTGGACAGTCTTGGTCATTGTGTCCTTGGGCAAGACACTTCACCCGTTGCCTACTGGTGGTGGTCAGAGGTCCGGTGGCGCCAGTGTCCAGCAGCCTCGCCTCTGTCAGTGCGCCCCAGGGTGGCTGTGGCTACAATGTAGCTTGCCATCACCAGTGTGTGAATGTGTGCGTGAATGGGTGGATGACTGGATATGTAAAGCGCTTTGGGGTCCTTAGGGACACTATACAAATACAGGCCATTTTAGTTACAAATGGAGGTTTGGGTACAAAAATACTATTTTAGAAATTACAGGTTTGTTTTTTATAGAACAAATGACAAAGAAAAGAGTCTAAAACGTTTCTTTTAGAAGGCGTGTGTCATCCTCCACTGAGATTTGACCCCTTGGTTTGTTTTGCGTCTCTGTTTTTCTGAGGCAGTAATTCAAGCTGTGGTGTCTGACATGAGCCAAGTACTAAATCTGCATCATAACGTACCAGGATCTTTATTTTTAAAACCAAAGTGCCTGAGAGAGAACCTGTATTACAAGCAGTGTAAGGACTGTAACCTGCTCTGCTGTTATTCTGATTTTCAAAGCCTGTCATTAAGGTTTGATGGATGGCGTCCAAGGATTGTAGCAGCAACCCGAGCAATCAAATCTTTCCCTTCAGCTCTCCCTGTTGACATTCTTCAACATCCACTGTCAGTCACCGCCGTGCCTGAGCAATCTTTTTAATATATTTAAACAAAGCAGCACATCCTCTTTTCCTTCGCCAAACTCCATCATCTTATTCTAGCCCTGTGGTTTGCTGTGCCCTGCGCTGGATTGAGCTGTTTAAATATTAACCACTTCTGTACGTATGTCAGGGGGTGAGCTCATTGTGCTTTGGAGGAAGCAGACTTTGTAGAAAGCTGACACTGCTGCAGTAAAGTAGTTAGCATCCCATCACAGGCACTTGGTGTGAAGTTTCCATGAGTCTGATTCCACTTCCATGCGTGTGTGAGCCTTAACCTTGTAGCTACCACGCTCACAGCTCCAGCTCAGTGGAGCAGACCATCGGGGGACTCGGTCAAGAGGAGGCTCTCTGTTTGATGTGATAAACCGCATCACTTTTTTCCCTCCCTCTACTCCTTCATTTGGTCCGGTGCTCGGCGGTGACGTGCCGAGTTGATTGGCTCTGTGCCTCCAGTCTGTATCTTCACTGATTTACCTTTAGAAAGAGAATGTGTAAAAACAATGGACTGAGGTATAGATGCTGCAGGAACTTGAGAGCAAATTAGGGGTGGGTGGGAGGGGGGTTGTAGCTGAAATGGTAGCTAGCTCTGATAAAGAGCAGCCACCTGCAGTGTTACAGAGGGAGAGAGAGGGAGTGGGGAAGTGTATGCATTGAAGGGGGGGTAGAGAGAGAGAGAGAGGAAGGGAGGAGAGAGGAATTGCAGGCAGCAGAATTGTGATCAGTCAGGACAATAGGAGGATGTAACTTCTGCAGGACTAGGTTATCTGCTCTTTAGCTAGGAGCAGCTAAAAAAATGTTTCTTTTAGACCTCGTCTGTTGCCGGACCGCATCTCTCAGATAATCTTAGCGCTCTCTTGTCTGCAGAGGAGTTAATCCTGGGAGTGAGCTATCACTGAAAGTGCTTTTTGAAGGAGCTGATCGGATTCTTGACTGGATTTTTTTTTTCTTTTCTCCTTGACAAATTTTCAAGCTTATGAGATGTCTGAACGGAACTTTTGACATGGGACCCTCATCTGGAACGTGACTGTTTATGCAGCAGGTTTAAATGATAAGACAGCCGACAAGCAGAAAGGGAAACTTTCAAATCTGTGTTTTATAAAGAAATGTTATGTTTTCGAATTTAACGCTGTTTACTTTTCTAAGCTGCCAGATTTCACAAGGTAGAAAACGATTGACTCTGTTAGCCTCTGTGTTTGAGGGGTAGTTAATATATTGGGAGGTAACTACCTGTGCAGTGATTGGTTTCTAGTGTGGAGTGTGTATTTGCTTTGAAAGAGAGTTAAAGAATTCCAGTAACATGTTCACTGGAGGAGAGGCACCAATCTGTCTTTGTATAGGTTAGACTGGTGACAGCTGTCACTATAGTGTTGCTCTGTTATCAATCTCCGTTCATTGCAGTCATGTCACAGGTTTCCTTTAGTCCCTCTGCGTTTTTTTCTTGTCCTGCTGCTTCCGATGTGGACAGTGGCACATCACAGGTAGATTCCTGTTTGGATTGTCCGTGGGGGATTATATGTTAAACAGGTGGGATATGTGAGTCTGGGATCCAATTATTTACCAAATGCCTGTCTTGGCTACAAGTCTGGATCACTTACACTTGGCTGCAACAAATGTACTACCCTGGAAGAACTTAAACTAAAGTTATACGCTCCAACCTGAGTGTTATTGTAAAGTTAAAGTGTAATTAAAACAGCCCTAATTTTTTTTTTTTTTTTTTTTTTTTTTTTTTTTTTTTGGGCAGAAAAAGGTACCTCCTGAAATGGGACACTCTGACTTTTTTTCATAATCAGATATGAAATATTTAGTCATATTTGTGAGTTAGGCGAGGCACCGCGCTGTGTGCTAAACAGAAATGTATTTCAGCATTCTCCTGGCTCACTATCATAGCAAAAATATATTCTTTATTTTTTAGATATTATCCATTTTTTTGTGGATTTATCCCTTTTATCTTACCTTCACCCCCGACTCGGGGGTAGTTTAATCTATTTCGAGTGACTGTTGTTCAGCCCCCGCTGTCCTGCGGGAGCTGACGCCTTGTTCACAGAGGACACTGTCTCCCTCACGTTCCTGCTGCTGGTGCGCTCGGCTCTGCTGGCCGAGAATGATGTGGCAATGCCACGTCTCGTCCTCGGAGTGCCGCTGCTACCGGCTGAAAGGTTTCTCACTCCTGAAGCGCTTTCCCCTGTCAGCAGGTGCTGCAGGCCGACTGCTGGACCAGCCCGTGGGAGACTGGCTGGAGCATGTGGGTCTGCCGCAGTACGAGAGCAAACTACTCCTGAATGGATTCGACGACCTTCACTACATGGTGAGTGCCTCACTTACTTCATTTTCATTACTGTCTTTGGTTCATATTTAATTCTCTCGCCTGTTTAGCCGTTTATTTTCAGTTTTTAAGTCTTTGAAGACTTTTTTTTTACCTTTTCCCTGTACTCTAAAGTATCATATTTGCATCATAGGTATTTGCATTATTTAGTGCTTGGCTTAACTCAGTGTTTCAACTTTTCCATCTGTTCTGGTGACTCCACCTTTCAACTTAGCCGATGCAGTCTGAGCTCAGCTCCTGTCAGATAGTTTGTTTGATACTGTTACCTCTGGTTTAGTGTTGAATCAAGGCTGTCCTGGATCCTCACACTCTCAGACGGTTTGTCTCTGGCCTGGGAGGCGATTGTCGTGGCTTCTCGTTAACAGTCAGAGAGCCGGCTGCCAACAAAGCAGCTGATGCCCGACCAGAAGGGAGAAGAATCTTGATGAGTAATGGGGTGCTATTGCCAATCTGACAAGTTTATAGAGCCCAAAGTGTGCGATGCCTCTCTGAGTTGGCTCAGTTGCTTTTCTCAGTCCTGAAGTCTGATGAAGGGGCACAGCTGGCAGTCTGAACCGGTGGGAAAGTTGAGAGATAAGCATCCTATTTGTCAAGATAAGAACTCACATTTCTATCAGACTTATGAAAATCTGTTGTCCACAGTGTGTTTTATTTGTTACAGTGAAGGTTTTTATGTTTTTCAAACACTACTGTAGATTCACACATGAGTTATAAATGTACTCAAGATTCCCTCCATGTGGACTTACTACTTACCACAAAGTAAATGAAGCCAGATCCAGAGTGCTGCGTATAAACAGGAACACAGCAGCAACAACAAAACAGAACAAGTTCTCTTAGCGACTACAAAAATAATTCATAAATCACTGTGTTGGGTGCAAATTAAACTTTTCATTTCGGCTGAAAGAAAGGGTCTCGGGCACTTTTAATTTGAATTTGAATGAACTGTGCCTCAGATGAGTGCGACTATGAGAAGCTGACAAAGACTCCAAAGAATATGGTCTCTTAGACACTCAGCGTATTGTACGTAAGCATAACAGCTGTTTCCTTGTGCGAATCAGAAGATATACACCTCTGTTTGTAAGCTCCACAACACATGACAGCAGATGTAAACAGACGTACACGTTTCAACTTATAAGACCCTGAGATTATGTGATATAGCAGCAATATTAAAACCAGTACAGACATTTAAAGTTCAAAAACTACAAAACAAAACATCGATCTCTCTGAGGGAAACATTTACTACAATTTAAAAAAAAACCAAAAAAAAAACATGAAGTGATGGGACAAAAATTAATGAATATATTTCTTTCTTTTCACACTTTTTTTTTCTTTGAGATTATCAAACCTTTTAAACAATTTTTATAAATAAACTTGAACTTTAAATTCTAAATCATTAACCTTGAGCTTTGCAAAACTGGATATAATAAAGACGATATATAGGCAACTTCATTTGGTATGCTAATGATGTATACTAATCTGGTGTTCAATCTAATTGGGTTTGTAGTAACGTCAGGATGGAAAAGAACAGTTATTTAAATGGCTGTTGGTGTCAGACAGCCTGGACTGAGGATTTTCCTACAAAATGATTTCTAGGGTTTTACAAAGAATGATCTGATAATGTGAAAATATCCACATCTCTGGGTGAAAATGTCTTGTTCATGCCTCGAGCTCACTGGAAGGCAACTTGGAAGTAACTCCAGTAACCACTTGTTACAACCAATGTATGCAGAAGAGCATCTCTGAACTGCAGAAGACCACACAAGGTGCCACTACTGTCAGCTAAAGACCGCAAACTGAAGCAATGATTAACACAACCTGACCAGAATTAGACAATAGAAAACTAGAAGATCACTGTCTGGTCTGACGCCAGATAAAGGTCATCACTGATTGTCAGTATCTGTATATTTATTTCTTTACCTCTGCATGTAAGGCTTGTTAATTAGACTTAAATATTATAAATATGTTTCTTTGGTTTATTAAGCTTCAGTTGTTTAATAAATAAAATGTGTGGTTGCTATCAAACTATATCTGTCTAATTTCAGTGCACTCTGATTCTCCCATAAACAACCTTTTACTCTACTTTACATAACCCGAGAATAGAGAATTCATCCACTTATCAGCCTCTCCGCTTGGAGAAAGCGTGATCCACACCCATGTTTAAGTACGTGTTGAAGCCTCTGAAGTTTCTCTCGGGGTTTAATCTTCCTACTGTCTTTTAGGCTTTCACACTCCTTTTTCTCAGGCTTGAGTCGTCTTTTTATTCCAAAGCGGCAAGCTGGCAACATTTCTATCTTTAAACATGGCTTACTAACCACCTGGCTTCCTAAAGTCGCTGCAGGGTTTAGAGAAAAAGCCGTTACCTCTGAACAAAACAACGTGTCCCTCCCACAGCAAATGTTGACCTTTTTTTTTTTTTTTTTTTTTTTTTTTTTTTTTTCTATCTTAAATATGAATCACAATTTAGTCTCAATTGGAAATTAGAATTACCCTCTGAGTCACCTTTGCTTTGCTAAACTTTTATAATTGCGTTTAATCTATGCATTAGTGAATAGAGCAGAAACGAGCCATATTTCGTTCTTGGCTGAGTTGCCAGTACTGTGTACAGATATGCCTGTCAGCCAATCCACTTTTATCTTCAAGAGACGGATCACCTTCTGTGTTCGACTTTCAAAACAACAATCTAATAACACTTCTGACTCAGAAATAGATGCAGAGTCATGATGTTACTCTTATGCATTTCCTATGAGCTGCTAAAAGACGGGCAAGATGCCAGTATTTTAATTGAAATGTTCACACTTCATCATCAAATTTTAAACAATGGTAAGAAAATGGTCCTTCTCTGAGTTAGGTTGTTAGACATACTATTTATTTTTCCAAGTATGCTTATGTAGCAGCGAGATCACTAATTAAACAGTGTTTACTCTGCCACTCGGCCAACTGTGATGTGTCTCCCCCCTGCAGGCACGCTCTAGAAGCAGATCAATAACAGCAGTGAATGTATTGTGTTCAAGCAGCGTTGCAGAGACGAGCCTTTTTCTGAAACCAATTAGATGCTTTTTATCGACTCGTGGAGCAAATGTCCCGATGAAACAAGCGCTGCGCAATCATGCTGTTCTCCACCGCTCGTTGGTGCTGACAAGTAAAGCCTGTTGAAATGAAATGTCTCTTTTTCTCTGTGTTAGACTTCTACGCTGTGACACAGTCGGCAAGTTCGTTTGTATTCAAAGCGACTGAGACTGACGGTCTTCTGGCGAGGGCGTCTGGATCTGACTTTTATGCGGTCAGCTGAGGGAGAACAAATTTACTTTGAGTTTCAAATCAGTGGAGGTGGCTGAGGATTTATAAGGAGAAAGACTTTTTTGTTTGTTTGGTTTGTTTTTTTTTTTTTTTTTTTTTAGAAAGAGTTGGTCAGATCTAAAAGTTGCACCAAGGTTAGGCAAACCTTTTCTGCTTCTGAGCTGCATTCATGTAATCTAAATTCATGATGTTTTCGTGACCCCCAACCCCCCTTTTTCTGCCTTTTAATAAATGCAAAGGGCTCATGCTGCAGCGAGGGACCAAACCCTGCGGAAAAATCCAGTAATGGCTTCCTGCATCCGAAGCTAAAGGACTGGGAATGGATTGATTGATTTCCTTTTTTTTTTTTTTTTTTTTTTTTTGGGCTTAGATTTGTTTGTTAATTTGAAAGAAACATTTTTTTTTTAATGTTCTGTCATAGTTTCATTTGCACTTTTCTTTTGAGGTATAGGTGATCTCATGGCAGCCAGTTTAGGAGGACAAACTGAGTCTTAGTGCTGTTAGGTAGCTGTCCTTTAGAGGGTCAGAATGAGTGATCCGTGCCCCTGAGCACCCAGCCTGAATTCAGAGTGCTTTTAAACCAGGGAGGCCACTGTGGCTGTTCTCTGGATAGGCCGAGGAGGAACAGCGCAGCATTTTAATGAGAGGACGGAGTAAAGCAGAGCTGGACAAGCTGCGCAGGCACAAAACAGGCCCAGCTTACACTGCTGTAAATGTATTCTGTTTGCCAATGTTGTGCTGATATTAGCGTTCTCTCTACTAATGTACTCCTTGAAACCTGCCAACCCTGTGGAAGCACATTAGCCAGAAATTTCCCCACAGAGTTGTCACCACCACATCATGCTGTTTGTGTTTTCAGACTCTTTGAATGAGGATAAATGGCTTATCCAGATATAGCAGAGGTGAATGTAACACTTTACATGAAAGGAAATGAGAATTTTTATTAAACCAGGTGTGAACAAACATTCTTCACCTAACAGGTGTTCAGTTCACTCCAGTTTGGTTTGGTTTAGTGAGGTGTGTCCAGAAGCAAAATGTTGATTAGTGTTCAAAGTTATTTGCTTTATCAGTCAGGTTGTCATTCAACCATCAAGCCATTAATCATGGGACTGAACTGGGAGTCATTTATTTATGTCTAAGCTTACCCAGGTTAACTTCAACATGAAATCAAATTATCCAAGGACAAAAAAGATTGAAAGAAATGAACAAAAGAGCCCTGTGTCAGCTTGGCGACTTGTCCAGGGTGTACCCAGGGTCTCGCCGTATGATGGCTGGGATGGACTCCAGCACCCACACAATGCTGATGTTTCCTTGGCTTGCCTCAGTGATAGATGTCATAAAACAAATATTAAAGTCTGTAAAGCCCAATAAACGGGATGATTTCGAAGTGATGAGATAACATTTCTGCACATCTGCCAGAATTGGCAGAAGACACATGAGAAAATCAGAGTGGTAGGAAAATGAATAAATCAGGAAATGGGCAAAGAGTGTAAACCCAGTCTGTTACAGCTGTATTCCCCCGCATAGAGACATTTATCAGTTAATCTCCAGTGGGACAGTAATGCAATGATCCATGCGCTTTGAAGCATTATCATCCATTCAGCCCCACAAACCATATCAGTCCTCAGCTAGAGAGGCAGCAATCAGCATGTTGCTGCTCAGAGATAATGGGCTTTCAGTTGTCAGTTTCGTGTGAGGCAGTGTGAAGGCAAAAGAGATGATACATAATGTCCTGTGCTCAGTGTGGGCTGAAGCCAAGATCATAGTGAGTTCTGATCAATAAACTCACTCGGAGCATTCAGGTACTCATATTTCTGCTTTCCGTCTTCCTTCTCCGGATTTCCATCGACAGGCTGGATCGCAGCCTATTAGAAATTTCAGCATGAACAGGATGGCAGTGTAAAAGTTTATGTCAGTGTCTTAGCTGAATTGTGATTAGCATTGTGATTCCACAGGCAGCATTACAAAGATTGCTCTGCAGCATTTACTCTAACAGACGCACTCCTCCCTGCTCATCATGCTCTCCGCCCCTTGTTTGCATCAACGGCATCTGCATGAAAAACAGGCTGTCGAGTTTGACCTACAGACAGCATCTCTGCTATGCCATTAGTGGTGTGCGTATGTGTGCGTGTGCACAGCGGTGAGCACCACAGGATTAACTTTAGGTTCATATTGAAGAGTCAGCCCTGAGGCGACGCCTTCTCTGGACCGTAGTGATACTGGCAGATGAGAGTTGGCTGCTGACTCCCCTGCAGAAGCACTACAGCTAGCATTCATGGTTTATATCCAACAGGCAGGACTTGTGACCCTTACCCACTTCTTATTGGTCAATCTGAGCATGGTTAAAAGTCAGTTTAATTCAGTTTAACAGACGGCAATTCCTTCAACCTCTGCTAACTGGCTAGTCCCAGCCCTTGCCATCCTGTGGTTTTGACTACCAGTTCAATTGCTGGGTGGTTGTTGTTTTGGTCCTATCAGTTATTCAGCTGCTTCTTGGAGATATTCACGTTCTATTCCACCCTCCTGCAGTTGAAGACAGTAGTCTTTCTTCTCCTCTGCAAATGCTGAGACCTGAAAAGACTACTGTAACCAGGGTCTAACAGTGGGTAGGGAAATTGTTAATAAACAAGACCCACAATCAGCTGTAATCTTGGAGTTCTTTCATTCACCTCAGAGGCAGCTGATTATGTTGCTCAGTAAAGCTGCAACCTTAAGTGTGAAAACCCCAGAAGCTTTATTATGAATCTGTTATCGTTTTCATCTAAATCTGTGGGAAACACTGTTTACTGTCTTGTGACTGTCTTATTTGGTCTGTACCATAAAATTGTTTAATATGGAACTAAAATAAATGAATAAATGATGTTCGGTGTTCATATAAAGGCTTTCCTTTTACGTGTCAAGGTGTTTTGATTTCCCCCGCGGCTGTCGTCAGCTATCGATGCGCCTCCATCTCATAACGCTGCCCACTCTGCAACTCAGACATTGATTCATCCCTCCCTTCTCCATTATCTGTTTGTTGCCACTCAGTCTCCAAAGGTGATATCGTGTGTAACCAAAGACTGGTTTGAACATCAATCACCACATTCCTGTCAGTACCCCCCCACCCCCACCCCCCCCCCCCCCCCCCCCACACACACACACACACACACACACACACACACACACACACACACACACTTACACTCACACACACAAGTCTCATTTAAGGGGTTATCGATGTGGCTCCTCTGGTGATAGTCACTAAGTTGAGTTCTAGGGAGGCTCTCAGTCAGGAGTAATTCACCTTTTTATGCAATGGTAGCATATTTGTGATCAGTTCTCACGTTGCACTGAAGGCTTTTAGCTTGGAGGGTTTGTCTTAGATATCTATCTATCTTTATCTTACATCAAAGCAGTCTGTGTTTTGGGATTTTCATAGATGACTTGAATAAACTACGTAAAATAACAAAAACTGTCTTTTACTAAATGGTAACTTAAATTACTTTATTCTGACACAGTTTAATGTACCTTGCTTTCTAATGACTTTCATGGGTCTTAGACTAGAAATGCCAGTAACAAAAATGCTTGTTTTGTATGTTGCTTTAAAGGGGAGCAATGTAATGGAGGACCAGGACTTGAGAGAGATTGGAATCGCAGATCCGAGCCACAGAAAGAAGATCCTGCACGCAGCACGTTCCTTTCCAAAGGTGATAAATCATTGATTCCTACTTTAGTACTTCTCAGACCCAATTCAGTGTTTTGCATTTGCTTTAATGTTAGATGATTAAGTAATATTCTCACCTTAGACCCAAGTATCTATTGCATTTATGAAAATTAACAAGTTAATTTGTGGGTTAGGCATACGGCTGAGCAGGAGCAATAGTGCTTAATAATGAAGTCGAATGCGGTTTGGCGGTGGGCTTGCTTTATCTTATTGTATTGGGAGCTTTACTTTTGTTATAAAAATAAAATTAAACAAGAACACCTCTGCAGTATTCTCACTTTAATTTGTATTGCTTTAGCTCATTCTGCTTGTATACAAATATACATCTGTGGGGGTTATTGAAACCAGAACCCTTCAATTTCCTGCCAAGGAAAATTGGCTAAATTTGCAGCATATTGGTTCAGCCAACGCCCTGAATTCCTCAAAGTGTCTGTGAATGATTACGTTTTCTGCTGCAGGTGAAAGCGCTCAGCTGTGACGGCAGCAACTCCCTGTCCTCCTGGCTGGAGAATCTGGGCCTGCATGAGTACTTGCAAAACTTCCTGTCCAGCGGCTACCGCACTCTGGACTGCGTCAGAAACCTGTGGGAGCTGGAGATTGTCAATGTGAGTCACAGTGATGTACAAGGACAGTGGGGAGTATCAGAGGGTGAAATTAGTCTTCAGGTGTCTTGGGGAAAAAAAAAAATCAGGATAGGGAAACGAGTTTGACGGTTTACTTCAGGTTCCCCCCCCCAAACTGAAGCAGGAGGCTAAAACTGAAGGTGAATGTGTATTTGTGTTGAATATTGGGAAATGGATTCTAAAGTCTCACTCAAAAAAAATTAATTGAGATTTTCACGTTTGAAAACAAGAACTGAAATTACTTGGTTAGAAGATGGCACGTCAGACTTCACTGGTCTGTGAGGAAATGTGCTGACTTTTGCTACTACTGGGAAGGGTCTCTGAAAGAAACATGTTTTCTTGTTCACTCCAAGATCAGTGCTGCATTCCTCCATTTCTGTGTGCAATACCATCACCTGTAGATCAGTGAAGTAATGTCAGACACTGTATCGCTGCATGAACGTGTGAACTTGTGCAATCCCGTATGTAGATTCAAGATTAACAGAAGAGAAGAGACTCGGAGGGGAAACAGCTTCACATGGAGAACTATTAAGGGAACCTCACAAATGAAATAGTGCCTGATGTGTTGTTTTCTGGCATTTCCTTTTGTGCTGCTCAGTATGATCACTTCATAATTTTCTTTTTTACAGGTGCTAAAAATTAGCCTACTTGGTCACAGGAAACGCATCATCGCTTCCTTAGCGGAGAGGCCTTATGAAGAGCCTCCTGTCAAACCTCCTCGTTTGTCTCAGATCAGGGTGAGGACCTACAAACTACTTTCCTGTCTAAAAGTGCTTCACAAAATGTTTCTTGTTTACTCTTCACTCACTTCGGAACCAGATCTGATGTTTGAATACTGTCCGACAAACTTAGGCTTACGTTTCAAATTCTTTATTTTTAGCCTGTAAATGTTGCAAAGTATATTGACAAAGATGAATGCCTGATGGCTAATGATAGAGAGTGCATCTGACATGAGATACCCAACTGTGTCATATTACATCTCTGCAGTGCCAAGACCTGCCTGGATCCCAGACTTCATCTCCCATGAGTCAGATGGAGCCCTACACAGGACGCTCAATGGACCCTCTGCTGCCTGCAGGCGAGCCAGGGAGGAAAAAAGCACAAGAAAACGACTATGACGTTACCCAAAGATATCGCAGCGAACGACACAGGCCTCCTGTATGTGGTATATCTACGAGTGTGTTAATGGTTATTGAGGGCCTCTGCCAGGCTTCTTTGATAGTTATGGTTATTTTTATAGGAGCGACATGAAGACTGGCAACGAGAGCCCCGCCTGACCTTGCGGCCACCTAGTCTAGCAGCACCGTACGCCCCGGTTCAGAACTGGCATCACCAACCAGAGAAACTCATCTTTGAATCCTGCGCTTATGAAGCTAGTGTACGTCTGCACCATTCTCCTTCCTACATGATTCCGCTTCGTTGATTAAACACATCAGCAGTAATGTCTTTTTCCCCTCCATTTCATTACAGTATCTTGGTTCCATGCTTATTAAGGAACTAAGGGGCACTGAGTCCACGCAGGATGCTTGTGCCAAAATGCGGGTATGACAAGTTTCTCCAATCCCTGAGGATAAACTCATAGATATTGTTTGTGTGAGTGGCAATTGACCTGTCCTTTTAATCTTCCCTCCAGAGGTCAACAGAGCAAATGAGAAAAGTCCCGACTATCGTCCTCTCAATCACATACAAGGGTGTGAAGTTTATCGACGCAGCCAACAAGGTTAGCGACTACACACATGCACACACACACACGTGCATACACATTTTCTCTTTGCGTCTTCTTAACCAGACGTGTTCTTTGAGGCGTGTGATACATCAAATTGAGGCCGGGGCAAATGACAGCATGTTTCCTTTTTTAATGTGTGCATGAAAGTGACGCAGTCAGACATTAAGCTTCCTCTCTTTCTGTGATTGTAAATATCATGCTTGCAAGTTTGTGTCAGATTAGTTTGTGCTTATATTTCCTTTATAGGAAGCAAATCTGATTGACATTTAGTTGACATTAATAAAAAAAGGCTTTGAAATGTTGAAGCTCAACATGGTCTTGTTGTAGTTGCACTTGTGATGGCTGGCAGTCAGTGTCTCTCCTTTAACCGTTTAGTTTTTTTTATTTTGTAACATTTTCTAACAGCATTATTGTCTCAATGTTGATGGAATGAAATAAAAATTTTAAAAAATGAAAGAATGCACTGTGTACTCTCGTTACTAAACCTCACTCATGTTGCCCTTCTCGGTCCAGAACATCATTGCAGAGCACGAGATCCGTAACATTTCTTGTGCAGCCCAGGACCCAGAGGACTTGTGCACATTTGCCTACATCACTAAGGACCTGCAGACCAGCCACCATTACTGCCATGTCTTCAGCACAGTAGATGTGGTAAGGACACTTGTACTGGGCTCTATTGTGCTATAGATGGTAAAAAAGATGATTGTGTGATTGTGCTGTCACCCATCGCTCTTGAAGCTTTTATATGCTGGCGTTTTAGAGCCAGACGTCATCTTACAAAGATGGGAGGGTGGAGGGTTTACTTAGCAGCTAGCGCTTAGCAAGTTTCATTCATAAACAGCAGCTCATGGCATGCAAGCAGGCATGCAATATAGAGACACACATACAGGCTAATTAATGTAAGAAACAGATGGACATTAGAGCACAAACTTCTTGGATGGTCAGCACCACACAGAAATGAACAGTATTAGTCATGTAATCAATTAGAAATGTTCTAAAAGTCACCAGTAGTAGTAAGCACACGGTGAAGAGCTCCAGTTTAGTACTTCAGAATGAGTCCTCAGTTATTATGTTGTTATTAAATTGTTATGAAGGGGGAAACAATCCACAGAAGCCAAAATATTTTTTGTACCATACTGTAAAATGTGACATTTTAACATGGAAGTCTGTCATTTTTGGAGCCAGCTTCAAGCTTTGCACAGAGGAACTGCAGTTTTTGTACTTCTGGAGTTTCTCCCCCGTGTTCAAAAACAAAGTACAGATTTATCTTCTAGTTATGTCAGCTTGCAGTTTGTCTGCTTATTCAGGGAACCAGTGGGCCTTGAACAGTAGTAGTAGCTCAGTGTGTATTTTACGTGTAGTTGTTTTTTTTTTCCTGTGTAATAATATTCAACATTGCTATCAATACATTTTTCAAAAAATGCCTCTCTGTGCAAAATGGGTTCAAAAACATAAACAACTGTGGGATCCTGTTTGTCTGTGTCTGATATTATTTGTATCCCACTGTAACTTTACTGTATAAAGAGCTAACATCTCCAAAATGTCAGGAGTATTTAGTCATTGCAAGAAGTGTTTGTGAGCTAAAAATCAAGAATGTGGGATACTGTGTCGGTGATTTGGAGAGCCCAGCGCTGCTCCCGACGCAGGAAAAACCAATTCTGCAGTGGAGACCTACCTGGCACTTGTGCAGGTGAAGCCAGGGAGGATATGCTTCATCATATTCTCTAGTCTTTGACTTGGAAGGATGTTGGTTTGAAAACCTATTTGGCGATGCTTCATCTCCTGCTTTGCGTTTGTGTGGCAGCCCCGTCAGAAACCTGTCTGTTATGCTAGTAGTAGCTTGACAAGGGTTTTCAGCTGCAGACAGTAATGCTTTTGTATTTGATTGCGGGCTGTTGGTAGTCATTAAACACTGAAACGCTATGAGTCAAATAGTTACCACAGCTTTGCCGTGTCCCTTCTGCTACCGAAAGTGTCCATATGAATCTCCTTTATTTGGTTATTTTAAACTGCACTGACTATATGGCTGCTTTCAGGGTCCGCCTGGCACAATCGTCACTACACAAGAGATGTTTCTGCGTATTGGTGTACATGGAGTGCTTTATCTCAGGGCAGGTTACTACATCAAAGGATATAAAGAGGATTTCACAGCTCTGTGTTATGTGTCTCTTCAAATGATGATTGTTGTTCCCACCATAGGATTGCTTTTTCAGATAACGTATAAAGCATGAATCATCTGTCTTTAGTCTGCAGAGCTTGTTCGTACCTGGGAGCTGTCAGGGTAAAACAGAATAATCCAGCAGCTTTATTACTGAGCTACAGAGGATGGATCTAGTTTAGGAACAGGGGGTTGCTGCACAATACTCCTGAGATTACTGCCACTTCTTCAGGTTATGCAATTTTGTTTTGAAGAAGTTTTGGAGGAAAAAATCTTTCTTCTGTTACGTTTTGCTGTCTCGCTGCACACTGTGATGGTCCTTTGGCTAAAGGCTTGTAATGACTCCGTGATCCTCCTCTTTCTCCCTTTCTGTATAGAACCTGACCTATGAGATTATACTGACACTGGGCCAGGCGTTTGAGGTAGCATATCAGCTGGCTCTGCAGGCCCAGAGGACCAAACCGCACCAGAGCGTCCCAGCTGGATCTGGATCAGAGGTCATTGAGACCAAGTCCAGCAAACCTGTGCCCAAACCACGAGGCAGCATACGCAAAACAGCGGTGAGTTGGTTGTTAAAAAGTATTGTAGTAAAAACACCAAATAAAGCTGAAATATTGTTCAACGTGTTCTCGAGCAAATTTGGAATTTTAAATCCTTTTACTTCTCTGTGCCAGAAAAAAATCTTTTTGTGTTTTGTGATTACATTTGCAGCACACGCCTAATTTTTTGGAAGCAAAAACGATGTTAGATTGCTTGCGTCAGTCTACACCTCTCGACATCACTGTGGTTATGCTATGCTGATGTCCATCTGGGCATTAGCATTAAACCATTAAGAGGGAAGCTTGTGCTGAATATAAATGAGCCAAGTCCACCTCAGGGACAAGTCACACATTTCTAGCTGCAGCTTAATGATCACAATGATTTAACAATGTAATTCTGTTCAGTGTTTTCATCTGTGTGGCTTTTTTTTTTTTTTTTTCACATGTACATTTTTAAATGTGTTTAATCAGCACCTGAGCACACATGCACTTCATACTCAGTTACACACATCCACACCGATAAGCACACATAAGCTTCAAAATGCACCTGCAGTGTCTTCTGTGTTGTGTGTGACCTTTCAGACTCCTCATGTGTCATGCCTGTTAAAATCTGTGTCCCTTTTCCTGCCCTTTAAGTTCTTTGACTCTGTCGCTGCTTCGTCCTGGTTCTTTGTGCGCTTTCCCTTTTCTCTTCTAATCTTCGTCTCCGTCTGGCTCGCTTCTCTTCCTCCTGGTGGTGTTTATTCCTCCCAGGACTCTCCTCTTCCTCTCGACAGTCGTTGCTGTTACTGTTCCACCTGCACCAACCACCGTCCCTCCTTCCTACCGCTGCACTCTGCCAGCCATGCTGCTCAGGTGCTGCCTCCTATCCCATCCCCATCCCTTCTCACCCACTCGTTGTTGTTATTTTTATTTCACTATCTTTTCTCTGCTATATGTTGAAAACTACAAATCATGATGTATCCTGTTAACTCCAACGCCCTCTAGTGACACGCTTGTAGTAAGACAGACAAAGTTTATATACTGTACACAGAATTCTTTTTGGGTGTTTTTACTTAAACTTTATGATATACATAGAGAAAATGTTGTTATTATATTTTATCAATAAAAAGCCAGCAAAATTGTCTGCTTACTAATTACTCCCAAAAGTGCTCAGCAAAATGAGAACCAGGAAAAGTTAAAATTGCAAAAATTGCAAATCTCATAGACCCATATTTTTATTGACATCTGAACACGCAAAACATTTTAACTGTTTACACTGAGAAAAACATAAGATCGATTTCTGGGAGATGAGGAAACCAGTTGCCGGACTTTCAGCAGAGAAATGTGTCCCATTCTTGTTTATTGTATTGTTTTTAGCTGCTCAGTAGTTCTCTGTCTTCTTTGTTGTATTTCATGGTGTGTCAACTGTTTTTAATTGTGAAAGGTCTGAACTGCAGTTCAGCACTGAAGCTATGCGGCTGTAACAGATGAAGTATGTGGTTTAGTTTAGTTTAGTTTAGTCGAACTATGCAAGGCCTTCCCTGAAAAAGACGTCATCTGGATGGAAGCACGTGTTGCTCTAAAACCTGTAGATACCTTTCGGCAATAATGTTTTGCCATGTGTGCAAGCTGCCTATTTCATGGGAACGATCCACCCACATACCATGAGAGATGCAGGCTTTTAAACTGAGCACTGACGGTCCCTCTCCTCCAGAGGACTTTTCATCTGTGTTTTCTAAAAAGAATTTTAAATTTGGATTTGTCTGACCACATGACAGTTTTCCAAGTTGCCTCAGAGCTTTGGCTCAGAGAAGATGGCAGTGCATCGCATAGTACTTCTGATCTTTTGAGCCCCAACTATTCTGAGAAATGTTGCTGCCATCAAATTCAAAATGACTTAATGTTTTTCATGAAATAGTGAAAAGTTAAAAACCTTTTTGTCTAATATAATAAATAAAATATGGGTTTATGAGATCTGCAAATCATTGCATCCTGTTTTCTTTACATTTTACACAGCATTCCAACTTTTTTTGGGATCGGGGTTGTAATTTTATGATAATTGATGGATAGGTGTGATGCTGCATCGTTTATGGAATCTGTTTAAACACAAACATCAACACTTTCATGGGTAAATGTGGTTAAATTTCACCACAAACAATTACAGTTTGTTGGCACAATAATACTTCATTGCTGCATTTTGAATCTAAGCATTACAAAAAGTGTAATCAGCCTCGTATGTGAAGATTCAGATATTTCATTGCTGTCTGTTTGTACTCACAGGGGGACATCGTGGACCAGGAAGGCGATTCTCAGTCCCAGGGTAGTGCCACGTGGCTCATGGACCCCAAGGAATCCAAGCGCACTATCAGCACTAAGTACGAGACCACCATTTTCTGAGTGGACCTCTCTTCCTCCTGGGCTCAGCCTCACCCTCCTTCCTTCCCCTCCTTCTGTGTGCCTTTCACTGTGACGCTGCCTCTTTCTCCGCGCTGGACCTCTGCTCCTCCCCACCGCCATCACTTGTTTCCTCCTCCGACAACACCACAGTCTGTGGCAACTGACCAGCTGTTGCCCCTTCTTATGCTTAACTCCCAGCACCTTTACACTTTTTCTCAATTATTAATGCAACCCCTCCACCTCGCCCACCGTCTTCTAGCTGTCTAGTTGGTATCTCTTCTACTGTGAGCCTGCCACTCACTTTCCCTTTTATTCCTCCTTTCTGTTTACTTTATATGCTTCCTCCAACAATGCTTCCCCCTTTTTCTTTTTTTTTTTCTTCTTCCCAACTGTCAACATCCCACTCTTTACTCTTGGTGATAAGCTCTCTCTTTTCTTAATGCTTTTCTTGCTCTGTTAGGCGACGGCCGCTCTGAGGCTTTTCACTCTGACGTTCCAACTCCTGACTTCACCGAGTGCTGAGAAAACTGATTTTTACCACAGCCAAGAGTGACCCACTGCACACATCCTGTACCTGGATGGACACGTTTCCTGAGGAAACTGTGAAACTGATCCTGTAATTCTATGCATCAGTCGGACTGTAGCATGTTTATGTTCGCAGGGATGCAGGTGTTATTGAGGTTAAATAAGATCAATTAAGGGCAAGGCTTTTTTTCTTCTTCTTCTTCTTCTTACGGTCAGCTGCCTGCTTAAAGCCAAAAGAGGCCAAGATCCTAGCACTGTGATATGATCCTTTTGATGCTAATGAAGTAAGCATTTTGGGGTGGGGTTTCTAGAGAGCATCAGAGGGACAGAATAGGGCACAGAGGCAGACATGGATCTGCATGTTAGTGGTCCTTGCTCCAAAAAAACAGCTCAAAATAATTCAAAACTGGCATGCCGTCAACTATCAGTCAGGATTTAAACTCAATGCTTCGTCTAGAGTGAACTAACTACACCTAAGCACTTACATAAAATCCTCAAGTTTGAAAGAATAAGTGCATTTTCCTCTTTTTTTTCCTTTCACAACAAATGCCTTCAGTGTTCATCCTGTCAGCATTGCCTTTCCCCCCCAGTCATACCAGGTTAATGTTTCACAGATGCTTGGTGAAAAGAGTAAATCATTACGAAGGACTTAATCCGTCACTATAGTGCTGTTTGTGTCCATCGGTTTTACTTTATTTTAACTCCACTGCTTTGTGTGCGTGTGTCTGTGTCCCTTCCCTGTAGCTGACACTGTGGCCAATCCCAGACAGTGAGAAAAGGACAGGAATGAGCCCTGTTGAGTGGTGGGTAGGATGTTTTGCTGGATCATTGCCCCACTTCTCACCGAGCAGATCACATCAGCAGTCGGATTGTGCCCACAGTTACACACAGGCCTGGAGAATAAGACGGATGTAAACCTTTCGCCAACGCAACACGCTCCCCCGGTTCATCAGACTTCTCCAACTTCATCACCCTGCACGCACGCACGCACGCACCCGCCTCCATTTAACTTCTCGATGCTTGGAAAAGTGATGGTTGTTCCGTGCGACATTAGAGACGGATGTGTTTGTTGTGTTGCGTGCATTTCCTCCGAAATGAACCATCACGTCCCTCACTGAGAGTTGGTGTTTATCGTTTCAGGAAATGTACCTGCCGTTTTCAAAGCAGAACTTGTAGTTAAAGGGGAAGTTGCTGCAGAGATGAGGAACATTCACTTTTTATTATGAAACAAACTGTCAGACGAGAGACCTCACACTGTAGGTACACACTTCTTCCTGGGTTGTTTGTCCTGTATCCAAACATTTTAGCTGCTTTCATCACCATCAGCTTACATACATGTGTAACTGTGATAAAACAATGTAATCTTGCATGGGAGGAGCTCTCTTACCAAACTCAAGGGGCAAAGAAACTGACACTAAAAGACTGTTTTATATTGAAATAATGGGGGATGGCGTTTATTTTACTTTTTGCATGTGTATGCGCGCGTGTGTGTGTGTGTGTGTGGGTGTGTGGGCGTTTACTTTTTTTTTATAGGACTATGATTTGTCCTAATGCTGGAACTGGATCAGGTGTGGTTCTTTCTCTCCTTCCCTGCCCCTTTGTTCAGTTAATCTCGACAAGATTATTCACCAAACCTGCCATGCAGGCTGGTACGACTCTAGATTTATAGCTGCAGACAAGAACAATAGGGCACGGCATGTTTCTCTAGCTAACTCCTAATATGTTGACTGTTAATGGTACTGTTTGGTCCACCAATCTGTATATGGGTGCATAGTCGGCTCATTTTGATTTAACTCTTGTATATGTGGTACATTTTTATCCGGCCAGTACGATAACTCTATGGCACACTGTCTTCAGCGCGCTGGTGTCAGCACCTTTAGCCATCAGCCTGGTCCTGCTCTGCTTTTGCACATTGCTGAGGATCAGGAAAGATATTTTGGGACTAATCTGATGACAACAATGATGAGAATGATATTGTACATGAATCTAGCGGTCTGTATTTTGATACTTGAATGATTTTTGTTTTTATAGATATCTATATATATATATGTATGTATATGTATGTATGTACGTATGTAATTTTTGACACTTGTCAAAAAAGAGAAAAGGACTATGTCTTATAAAGTTAAACATATCGTGAATAAATACCCTGTGATTTAAAAAAAAAAAAAAAAAGAAGGCTGAGAACATGACTCAGAAGAGGGACCTCACTTCAGAGAAAAAGATTGTAAATAATCTTGGGCTTCCAGTCTTTTTTATGATTATTTTTCATAATTGTACAACTAATAAATGGTACAGTTAGAATCGTTGTCTCTGGATGTTTATTAGGACATTCTTTGTTCTTGTTTTAACGGCTCTTCCTCCAAATTTGGGTAAATTTCTGATGGATTTACAGTTCTGTTGCAGTCTTTAAGGGTAAGTGATGCATGAGTGTCGATGCATTCAGAGTATCTCGATTTGGCTCAGGGCAGCTGAGGTTAGTGGACGTCTTCCAATGAAATGTTTGCCCTCCACCCCATCTCCACATCATAAACTTCTCTGCAACAGCTCAGTGGATTTACAAAGGAAATCTGTATTACAGCTGCTTCTTCTGTCAGTCTATTAAAAAAAAAAATGTTCATCAGAACAAAGAGAAACTTTTTATTTGAACTGAAGTTCACTTTTCAGCACAGGATTATAAACACAACAGTTTTGCTTTTCTTTGCCCCTTTGACCTCGGTCACCTTCAGTTTTATTACTGCTGTCACCTTTTAAACCTTACATGACCCATATTGTGCTTTTGACTTTGTGTTCATGTTTAGCTTTATCTGCTCAAGTTAATTTAAATATTGCAAAGGTTTGAAATTGCCCCAACTTCTGGTTGTGCTTTGACAATTATTTTTTATCTTTGTTATGAGGGAAATGAGTCAGAAGAAAATTGCTGCAGCTATAATTCGAATGCCAGCTGCGGTGAAATGTCAACAGCAAGACGTTGATGTGTTTACTCAAAATAATTATTACATTTGTAAGTATAAAATGAAATAGACTTTTAATGTTGACTGAATAGAAGTTCTAATGTTGGTTTTGGGGGAGAAAAGGCAAATCTCACTCAGTTTAACAAAATATTTAAGCAAGTGATTGAAATACCTGATGTTTTCCGTGTATTACAAAGTATTTCCAATTAAACTTAAGTTGTTCATTGTTTTTAGCTGCAAATTCAACTGGCAAGAGTGAATTCAGTTTGTTCTGTAATCTAAGTAATGAGTACGTCTTTAAAAAATGTCAAACTATGGCTGCATCTTTGATGTGACTGCTTGCATGGGGAAAAAAAAAAAAAAGTACTAGCAGCGGCCCAATGACAGATGAGATGATGGAGATGTTTACACATCTGTCACAGACATGCTGCTGTTCCTGGAAAACAGATGCTGACTGTGAGATCTGATCCACAGATGTTCTGCTTTGCTCACAGAAATCACACAGACTGTGTGTGGTATCTGGCCTGTAAAAATGGAAAATATTATTACTGAAATAAATGTTTGGTGGTAGTAATTTTACAATCAGATGCTGAGAATCTAGGTTACCTTGTATTCTCACAGAAGTTGTGTTGTAGTCATGTTGGTCAGGCAAGCTGAAATAGCTCCACATCTACTGGATGGGTTTCCCTTGCATTTCCCACAGATACAAATGTCCTAAAGCAACAGTCTTTAATGGCTCTGATTAACCGCTTAATTTTCTGAGGTTGACACACTCATGTTTTAGTATTAATTGCAGTGAAAATTGATGCAGATGTTCCTGTTCCCCTCAAGATAGTTCAATTTTGATTTGGCAACAGATCAAACTTTCTTTTTGTGCTGTAATTTCCTGCTTCTTCTGCTACTCAGTGATAAAAATCTTAGAAACGTGGTGTCAAGCCAGATACTTACTCTGGATGGCATTACATTGGCTTCCAGTAACACTGAGAGGAACCTTGGAGTCATTTCTGACCAGGATAGCTCTTTCAGTGTTCATATTACACAAATATCTAGGACAGCATTGTTGCAATTGTGCAATATCTCAAAATTAGAAACGTGCCGTCTCAGAGTGTTGCTGAAAAATTAGTTCATATGTTATTACTTGTAGACGGCAATATTACAATTCATTATTTTCAAAACTCCCTGAAAAGCCTTCAGTTGAGCCGAAATGCTCCAGCAAGATAACTAACGGAGCACATTTCTCCCATACTGGCTTCTCTTCATTGGCTGCCTGTTAAATCCAGATATCCTGCTCCTTGCATACAAGGTTTTGAATAATGAGGCTCCATCTTATCTTAAACACCTCATAGAACTGTACCACCCCAACAGAGCACTTCGCTCTCAGACTCGCGGTTCCTAGAGTATTTAAAAGTAGAATGAGGGGCAGAATGTTCAGCTTTCAGGCCTCTTGTCTGTGAAAGTAGCTCCCAGTTTGGATTCGGGAGACAAACACCCTTTCAAATTTAAAGATAAATCTCTATTTGATGAAGCTTAGGGCTGGATCAGGTGAGCCCGAATCCTCCCTTAGTTATGCTTCAATAGGCCAAATCTTCCAGGGGCTTCCCACGATTCAATTCAATTTTATTTATACAGCGACAAATCACAACAACAGTCGCCTCAAGGTGCTTTATATTGTAAGGTAGACCCTACAATAATACATTGTGAGAAAAACCCAACACTCATAAGACCCCCCTATGAGCAAGCACTTTGGTGACAGTGGGAAGGAAAAACACTCTTTTAACAGGACGAAACCTCCAGCAGAACCAGACTCAGGGTGGGGCAGCCATCGGCCATGACCGGTTGGGGAGAGAGAAGGAAGACAGGATAAAGACATGCTGTGGAAGAGAGCCAGAGATGAATAACAAGTATGATTCAGTGCAGAGAGGTCTATTAACACATAATGAGTGAGAAAGGTGGCTGAAGAAGAAACACTCAATGCATCATGGGAAACCCCCAGCAGCCTACACCTATTGCAGCATAACTGATCCAGCCCTAACTATATGCTTTAACAAAAAGGAAAGTTTGAAGCCTAATCTTAAAAGTAGAGATGGTGTCTGTCTCACAAATCCAAACTGGAAGGTTTGGATGTACTGAGTATTTTTCACTCACTATGTGTTTATACAACGCTCTGCACTTATCATCACTTATTATTAAACCGTGGCTCTTTTCCACAGCTTGTCTCTAGCCCTGCCTCCCTCTCCTCATCCACAACAGGTGGCGACAATGGCCGCCCCTCCCTGAGCCTGATTCTGTTAAAAGGTTTTAAAAGGGAGTTTTTCCTTCCCACTTTTGCCAGGTGCTTGCTTATAGAGCCTCATCTGATTGTTGGGGTTTTGCTATTATTGTAAATTATATTGTATTATTCATGTTTTTTATATTATATTGTATTATTGTAGCGCTTTTACTTTACAAGTAAAGGGCTTTGAGACGACTGTTGTGATGTGGCGCTATGCAAATCCAATTGAATTACAGTACATTGGTTTAAATATGTTATTAACATGCGTATATATAGTGATATATAGTGTTATAATAACTTAATATAAGTGACAGTATTCCACACAGAAAAGTAAAAGGTGAAAAATCATTTGAGGTTTCGCTCGTTTTACTGCTGTTCTCCTATTGGCTCTTCCTTGGAAAAGTCTCAGTCGCCCAGTTCTCTGATTGGCCACAAACCAACCTGTGCGGAAGTTAATTGCCTCACCTGGCCGTAAGCCTCTCACACTTCTCCCGTCTGTCACTACCAGTCGCATAGTTTTACTTCCAGGAACAGCACTGTCGGGGGAGTGCACCGCAGCTATGGACTGACAGCAGCGCAGTTTCACCGACCTTTCTCGCGCATATCTGGTAAGTTATCAGGAAACTGTCCTCTTAAAAGCGTAATATGCTCGTTTAGGGTGAAATCATGGGTTACAATGGAGGCAACGACGAAATAAAGTTGTGTGAAAGCTCGTAAGTCTACTTTATGAAAATACAGTGATCATTTAGAGTGGTGCGTGTGTGTAAGTGTGTGCGCTCGATTTGTTCAGAGCAGATTTTACCATCAGGTGTAACATAATGTTTTTGTGTTTGTTTGTTTTTTTACTTAGTTTGTAAGTTTTGACCCTGGAGTGTCATTTTGTGTCTGTTCGGGTGGAGGAGAGTGCAGCAGGAATAGAGAGACGGGTAAGATATTCAGCAAAAGACTAACATCAGTATCAGAAATGCTCCGATATGCATTACTTATCAGTTTTTATGCTCTAAATTTGTTTTTAGAGATAACACAACTGACCATAGTGTTTGGACCCTGGTTATCTGAGTCAGGATTAATGCAAATATTTGCTCATAAATGTCACTAACAGTCATTTTAATGGAACAAGTGTGAACATTAAAGACATGTTTCTGTTCTCTCAAACAGGCTGTGAGTTGCACAACCCAATGTTAACCATGAATCTTTGTTTATTGTTAATCATTAAACCAGCTCTGGCTGGCTAACCTTGAATACATACTTAACATTTTTGAGTTTTTCAATAAGGCACTGTGATTTGTTATCAAAAGCTATCAATCATTATCCTGGGTTTTTAATAAGTCTAGCTCACAAACTGTGCAGCTGTTCTCACATTTAAGGCCTGGAGCTGATCCTCCCTTTTAATATTTTAAAGGTTTCATCCACTCATGTGTTTGGCTTCATTTAAGAGTTGTGTCGAAGACATGGAAGCAGGCAAAGTGACATTCCTGTCACTATTAAATCCTGACTCAGCTGTGGGTGCAGTGTGCTTTGCCAGTGCTCCAGTTTGAGAGGTGTTGCCTGCTCAGGTTTGGACAAAGGGAGGGACAATAATTAGCTGCTTACTGTGGGAGGCCGGTGTGTGCTTTGTCAACTAGCTTTTGTTTCCAGAAAACATGTGGGAATGTGGGGGTTGGTGATCAGGTTTTTCATCAGCTGCCTTTGCTAAGTTTTCATGTCATCAGGTCAAAAGTGCCATGTACAGAAGATGGAGCTGATAAGTTCAGTGAACAAAGGAAAAGTCTGTCACTGTCTTTGCATGACTCAAATCTTAAAAGTAATGAGGTGAAAAAGCTGACGGTAAAATTGAAAAATAGTTACATGTCCTCTAAAAATGTATTTCATTTTCTTCAATGTAGTGTTTAATGCTACTTTTTAAAAAACATGCTTTTTAATTAGATGCAAGATTTCAAAACAAAAGTCATAGAAAATCCCCCACTTGTTACCCAATCTTACTGTTCAGTAATATTTCAAATATTTCACTTGCAGCAATAAAATTATGCTCTTTATGGGCCCACAGGAAGCTTTTTTTAAGTGTTGTTTTTATGAGAATGTTCGATGTACATTGTAATTCTTATTCTGACAGAGTTATGTATTGTTTTTTGCTGAATGAGCCTCTGAGTGTCTGAGTTTCTCTCACTTCTCGAACCACATTAATTTACTATTGCACAAATAAACTAAAGCTGTGACACACAGCATGTTATTTTGGGGGATAATTTGCATGCAGGCGCAGCAGGGTATGAAAAGAAACTTTAATTCTGTTACTCTTGTATTTTTAATCAACATAATGGTGTTGCTTGTGCTTTCACAAACATACCTGAACTGGCTGCAGCACTATGTGGTAAAGAAGTTCTATACCAGGTCGTAAAATAGCTTTTTTAAGTAAAATTATCAATTTGTCTGACCCATTTAGCTTTATAGTTAATTAGCTAAAAAACTTTTGACGACCATTGTCGACAATTTTTCCTCTAGCCCTAAAAAACACCTACTTGAAGTTGCCTTTTCTTTACGCTCTCATTAAGAATCAACCTGTTGGTTTGGTTGATTTTTTTTTTTTTTTTTTTTTTTTTTTTTGCGACTAGCATACTTTCCTCATGCCTGACTTGCCAGTAGTGATACGCAAAAGATAGGGAGCGGAGGCACAAGCATGCTGTAACACAACATATCTGGATTCTTAGCACAAATTTGCCATGATGTGAGGTATACCGTGTGTATTTGCAAGTAAGAGCGTTTGATTGTTATATCATAATGGCTGAAATACTGATTATTAAGGGATGCTGACAGCACTGTCTGCTTGCGATGACGAGTTCATTTTCCTGATTTGTAGAAATATCTTAAAGACCAAACCAGTAATGAATTATAAATACATAAATACACTGTTACAGGTGGCAAAAAGAAGGAAAGCACAATTAAGCACAAGCAAAATTAATAAGTCTGAAGATGCCAAATTTCTGAGATATTTGGCATTTTTGCTAGAAACTGACTCAAATTGTATTTTTTTTTAAAATATGCGAGAGGTCTCCATAAGAGGTCTTTTCTGTTGGCATACAGGTGAGTTTAATTATTAATAAATGAAACATTTAATCTGTTTCCTGTGAAAGACATCACTATGCATGACAGATATGCATAACTGAAAATATTCTCCATTTCACAGCTACTCTCCTTTAATGCGTGCCTCGATCCATGTTGTTTTTAAAAAAAGGCGAAAAGTTTTAGCTCAACCATTATTTTATTTAATGACTCAATTAGCATAACTAGATTTGCTTAATATATCATAGTGACCATGACAGCACATTTGAATCATGTTACAAAAATAAGACGGCCATTACATTATGAGGATCATTAAACTATCAGCTGTAATTTATGACCTTAATTTATCACAATAATTGTAAAGATGCTGTTTTGTTTACCAACTAATTCTCTAGCTATATTTAGCCTCAAACTAAGGCTTCATCAGTCAGTGGTCAAAGAAATGAACATTTTCCACTGTGGAGATAGTAGTGACTCACAAATTTCATCTGATTGTAGTTTCATGCTTTTGTCCTTGACATTTCAGATTTTTCCTGAGACAGACTTTCAGTGAGATTTACACAAACGAAACAGGGCCGCGAAGAGCATGTGATGCCCTCATCTTCCTTCATGTGCAAAGCCAAAGAGTGACACGTGGCCAGGTGGTGTTCCCGTAGCAACATGGACAGCGCAGGAAGCTCGGACAGCGTAATCAGCACGAACTCTGGCTATGTGAGTGCCGCTGTAGCGCTTTATCTCAGTCGTCTGTATTACTGACACTCTCGTACAGAACAAACACAAACGCTTCTCTCCTCGACTGGAAGAGAATAAAGAAATAATTGAGATTTGTGAAGTCTGAGAGATGAGAGGAACTGAATTTATAATTGGTGAAAGGTTCTCATGTTTAGTCAGTGAGGAGCTTTCAAAGGGTTTCAGCACATGTTTTCATAAATGAAGTATAAACAATCTGAAGCCCTCAGACACCAGCAGCCACCTGAAATATTTTTTTTCCAACAGGCTAATATAGAATAAGAGAAAACTAGGAGATGGATGGGAGTTGTTCCTTTGGATCTGTTTGAACTACTGCATATTTAACACACAGACTACCAGCTGGGTTCCCAAGAATTATTTACTGTAAGAAGAAATCACAATAGTAAACGTTATTTCTTCTTGGAGTATTGTTAGATATGGTAAAAAATGGCAAAGTTGCAATTAATTTGCATACTTTGTGCCTAATCTTACAGATTTAATCTACATTATTTCTTAAAAGCTTATTTATCATCCTTTGGTTCTGGTGCCAGTAAGTTTAATCATTATTTGTGGTGAATTTATATGATGAAACCAATTCAGTTTCATTTTGACTTCAATATAAAATAACTGAAATAAACACGCAAAAATCAGTTGGTATCCCTGAAATGTAATCCGTCCAGTTTGCTCTGGGTCTGCCCTAAAGCCTCCTCCCTCTAGGAGATGCCTGAAACACCTTGTCTAGGAGGTATCCTGGTCAAAGGCCAAACCACCTCAACTGGCTTCTTTTGAGGAAAAGGAGTAGTTGTACTCAATGCCCCTCCCAGATAAGCTCCCAACTCTATCTCTACAGGTGAGCATAGACACCCTTTGGAGGAGACTAGTGAGTCACTACACAGAATTTCCCCCTTTTCTGGCTGAGAACCACGGCCTTAGACTCGTAGGTCCTGATTCTCATTCTTCATGCTTCACACTCAGTTGTAAACCACTCCAGTACGAGCTGGAGGCCGCTGGCTGATGTAGCCAAGAGAACCACATCATCTGCAAAAAGCAGAAATGAGAACTTGAGACTACAGAATTCAACACCCTCTACCCCTTGACTGTCCTTAGAAATCATTGACAAAGGACAGCCCTGATGGAGTCCAGCACCCATCAGGAACAAGTCTGACTTTTTGCTGCCAATGCAAATTAAGCTGTCACTAGAAACAAGTCAAACTAATGAAGCTAAACACATAATACAGGCAGTTATCACACCTAGTTTGCCTCATGCTATGCTCCGGGCATGCTGGTATGTGACTGGAGGAGTTTCTGCCCGCCTGTCTTTGTTTCGGGATTTTCCAGCTGAATGCTGGACATCAGCAGGTGGAGTTTTTCACGCTATGAGAAGGGTCATTGCTGCTGAGACTGGAGCTTGCAATATAGCTTTTTATTTGTGGCGTGATCAGAGCACAACTCAGCTGTTTCAGGTAGATCTCGTGACACTCTCATTTCTGATAACGTCCAGTCTGGGAGGTTCCCTATCCTGCTAATAAATGCAGTAGTGGAGTCTTTCTTCTTCTAACATGACTGACAGACTCCTCCCGCCCCACACACCAGCACTGTGTGGTAATTTAAATTAGAGCCTATGACAAACTGAATAAGATGTTATATTATTAAAACTGTATGGGGACAATTGGGTATTTTTAAAAAAGCGTTAAGAAATGCAAAACAGTTGTGTGATAATATGAGAATCAAATTGAGAAAGTCATGAAAAATACACATGATAGGAAAAAATATCTAATTTCATTTTTTGTGCAGAGTGAAGACAGCATGGACCACTTATCTGCAGAGGAGAGGGCGTGTCTCACGTATCTGGAAGAAACAATCGAAGCGCTGGAGACGCAGGAGGACAGCGGCGTATCGAATGATGAATCACATCATGAGAGTCTAACAGAAAAAGCAGATCAGATGAGAGTAAATGGTATGTGATGTGCTGCTGTTGTGTATATTTTCTTGTGTACCTTTATTTGCATCGCAGATGCACGGTTTGTGCTGCAACACTAACTGTTGTAATTGTGTTTTTCTTAATTAGACATTTCCACTTTGATGCCTAATGGCTCCAAACGCGACCAGAAATCATTTCTAAGTGATGAAGTGCCCACAGCACCACCTGCATCCACAGCATTAGCCACAGAAGGAAAAACTCAGCTAAATCAAATCTCTGAACCACAAGTCAGTCCTCTAATCCCTGAATCTTCTACTGATACCAGAATCCACTCATCAGCTATACAGACTGAGATGTCACGCTCAGCCACAAATGAAGATGCTGATCCTGAGAGTGTCAAAAGTACAATTGTTTGTCCAGGACCATCTACTGACACCTCTGAGATTGATCTGAGTGTAATTCCACCTCCCTTAAACTTTAGGGATGAACCTGACTCTCCTTCACAGCCTGTGAACGTAAAAGACCTTACTCCATCTGTGGGAATTTCCAGGAAAAAGCCGGGAATAACCTTTGATTTGGAGCAGATTCGTCAGAGGGCCTCTGTCAAGAAAGATTTGACAAGCCCTGTGACCAAGGTGCCTCAAATCAAACCTCAGCCTGAGTCTCTCAGTCTGCTCACAAGTTCACAAATTGTTGCTCCAGCGTCTCCTGAAAGTGCAGAGCCCAAAAGTCCACCTGTTGTGGCCCCAAAGCCTAAAAAGCTGCCCCCCAACATTATTCTGAAATCTCACAAGATGACTAACTCTGATGGAAACTCAGCGCATCCAGTGCTCAACAGCAGTGAACAGCGGCCATTCTTGGATCCTCACAAAGTTCGCATGGAGGCTCTCAGAAAGCTCGGCCTGCTTAAAAGCAGTGAGGAGGAAGAATCGATCCCAAACCAGAGCTCTAAACTTCCTCTCAAAACCAGAGTGTCTTGGGCAGCTTCATCTTCTTCTTCTCCTCCAATCAGCCCTGCAGCTCCAAATGAACCACCATCATCACAGTCTTATAACCTTCCCCCTGCCTCTGTTACTGTCCAGCCTTTGAACCCTGGTGCTATATTACCATCAAACACTTCTACTGCTCTTACAGTTCTGGATCCTGATATTCTCCCAGCACCTGCTGATTTCAGTGACCCCACTGAGCTTTCTCCTTCAGAAAATCAACCATCTGCTGTCAAAGATGCCACTTCTCTTACCTATTCTGGCCTGGTCAAGCAGCTGACACCGCCAAAGGTCAAATCAGCCAGCCTCGGGCGCACTGAGGTGGGTATAAGCAGATATACAGCAGGTCAAGACTACGGTGAGGCCAGTCAGGGCACCAGCATTAATCAGAACCTCAACCAGCTGCGTAACCATCGACCGCGCCCCGCCTCTCTTGGGAGTAGGAAGGAGTTCTCAAGTGCTCAAGGAGAGGATTTGGAGGCAGAGCCTTCCATTACTAAAGAGCCAGCCTCACAGAAGGCCTTGCCTGCCCACACTGCCTTGCATCACTCCAGAGACACTCAGAAACTGCCTCGATCACAAGGTATCAGCGTGCTGATCTGCCCTCGTTCAGAAAATGAAGAGGACCGCCGTGGGGCCCTGAAGAAGCTCGGACTGCTAAGAGATTGAATATGCACCTCATTTATCTGTCAGACTACTTTAAGATGATGTATGTTAAGAGACATACCAGAGTTTTCTACGTGATTAATATGGAAAGTTAAAAAAAAAAAAAAGCTTTCAGGAAGCAGCTTAACCACATATTTATGCATTTTTATTTTACTGCATTGACAAAACTTGGAATTAAATGACTGTCGAGGACATTATTGAATGTACTTTTTACCTATATTGTACAACCTTATTTCCAATGTTTTTTCCCCACAGCACTAGCAGTCAAGGATATTTTTAATATTCATTAACTGTCACTGTGATATATGTACTTTTGTAAAGTAAATGATGTTGCTTTTATGAGACAATAGCGAGTTATTTAGTCATTTCAGTTTATTTTGTGAAGTATGATTAGAAACCTTCTTAATGTCCCTCGCTGTGTGCTTTCAAAGGGTCTCTTTGTACTTCTCCTTTTAGGTACTTCCATGTGTTGCTGTTGTGTTATGTAATTTGATTTTCACTTCCTACAGTCTGTTAGACTTTTTGTCTGGTTTTGTTTCCTTTTACCAACCGCTGGCTAGTACTCAGATTTGTGCATTTACTGTGAACTGCACTGAACCTATTTGCTTTGTAGAGTTTGTATCATAACTAGAAGATGTTGTTTTTCTTTTTAAATCAGTGGATATGGGGAAGGGATGTTCGGGAACATACCTTACCGTAACTCAAAGCACATAGTCGGTGAGCACTGGGTGAGAAGGATCTAAAAGGTTTTTTGCATGGCTGAATAATGATGCATAAGCTTGTTACATAGCAGCTACATGTCTGGAGTTAATGGGTCGACAAGGTGCAGGCATTTATTGCATCTTTTATTTAAACCATAAACTGACTGCTTTCTGAATGTCATTGTTTTGACTCCTTTTGGTCATTTTTTTTAAAATGCAGATGCATCTGTCATATCGAATCGAAACTTGAGGCACCAGTTTTGTGGCTCAGCCTCAGCAACTTTATCTGATGTGATGATGAGTGAACTAGTACAACCTGTTTTTCACCTCGCGGTTCAGCCTTCATGGAACATCTTTGCTGCTCATGATGGCTCATTTACGAGCCGACGGTTTGTCTGAAAAACATTTTATTGCTGCTGCAGGCTTTTTAGACAAATAGAATTGCTCTTTCCTGTAATTTGCCGGTGAGGTCACCTACTTCTGTGAACGCAAGCTCAATTTGAAAAAGTGTTTTATCTGAGCAGCTGTTTACAGCAGGGTGCAGAACTACAGAGCTAATAAAGAACAAAGCAGGGACTGGATCAACACATTTGGCTATTTTTGGAACTAAACTTTCCAGACAGTACTGATGGAAAAAATGAGCAAAATTAAAATTTTCTTGGCGTGTCCAGGCGGATAACAGTGACTCCTCTTTAATTGTCCAATTAGAAATTAGCAAGGTGAAGGTGCGCTGTCTCTGCATGGCTGGATCAGTGCCAATGGTACTGTGTCATTGTTGTAATTCTTTGAGCCCTGCCCTTGATACCAGCCCTTAACTCACAAATCGTTTTGTTCTGACCCTGATAACGCCTAGGACAGCTTTGCAGCATTTTTTTTTTTTAAGTCCAGCCTCTAGTTTGCATTTTCTACACTCAGAATATTTCCATGCTTTTTTGTTTAAAGTCTAAAAATATTTTTATAAGAAAGTAAATCCTTGATGTCGATCTCCCAGTCGCAATTTTTTTTATACGAGCCGAGTGGAAATTTGAATATTGTTTTTAATATTTTACATCAAGAGATGAAGCACATTTGTTTAATTCGGAGTTGAATAGTACTCACTGTTTTGTTCCAGACACCAAGAAGTTAGTATGTAAAGTATCAGTGGTTTATTTTTGTTTAGCTCAAAGTGAACATCCTCATTCCCTATAAACCCAAGAGAAGAGAAAGCAGCTACAGTAGGTGCCATCAGACTGACACAGGCAGCTTTGTGCTGCACTGTGGCGTGTTGGTATGTGAGCTATTTTTCCTTTCCACCTGAGTGCAGCAGACCTGACTGACAAGGACTCAATGACAGCAACTGTCAGCTTTCACAGTTCTTCTCCTAGGATCCTGAAACAGCCACTATGAGAAACATACCATAAAATTTTCCCTACAGAGAAAATGAAAACTTTTAGTGATTGGTATGAAATGTGACAGAGGTGAACAAGAGTCTACAGAGCGAACACCTGTCCATCATACTACAGCAGTAATGTTCAAACTGTGGGGCACAGGAGAGTCAAAGGGGGCAGCGATACGTTTAGCACTTGCATGTGACACACAGCTCTATGCTGAAGTACCAAACTTCAAAATGTACAAGACTTCATGATGTCCATGTGTGCTCTTAAAAAAATACCCACATAACAACTGGCTTGAGTATTGTACATTTTTGTGTTTTCTTCAGTGTAAAAACAATCCTGTGATATTTTTCTGAACATTCATGGGTGCACTGCAGTCAGGGATAATGTATTCTTTCAGTTTATATCAAATTATGCAAAGCATAGTTCTAAAATTTGGATGCAAAAAAAGAAAGAAAAGAATGATAATTATCCAAAATTTTCAATATATAATTTTAGAGTGTGTTTATATCACTGTAACACTGAGACAATCTTTGTTTTCTGAAATCCTGGAGGACGTTTTAGCTGTCATAGCAGGAGGAGCACAAGTTTGGTAGTGATTGTTGGATCCACTAAAGAGAGGATCTACTAGTGTGTGTACATGTGTGTACGCATACTAGGACATTTAATAAAACTGACTCTTCATTAATCATATTTATTCCTTCTGCTCTGACGAGTCAAAACCTCACGTTTGTATTACTTTCTCACTTTGAAACCTGCAGCCACTAGAGTGCAGTCTAGATTCATATGTGGGTAGAACCGCAACCGCTTACGCTGTATCCATAATGGCAGAGGGCCATATGTTGCTGTTGCACATTTGAATTTGTGCACAGATGCGATAGATTTTTTCTCTCCTTTTATTTCTCAAATAAACTGCACACAGAAAAAGTGCTTAATTAAATATTTCGATTAAAAAAAAAATGGAGTAAAGTGAAAACGGATCAGTTTCTCTGTGTACCATTCACCTTTGTAATAATGGTTGTCTTTTGTTTATTTGCTTTTTATATGTATCCTTGAAAAGCCCTCTAACTGCATTTATGGATGAGATTAGACTATCCCACCAGATAATCTGACATTATGGCACATCAGTGAGGATTAAAATGCATTTGCTGTAGGCCTAGACCAGGACAAAGTAAGTCTGCATCAAAGGGGGTTTCACTACCAAAAATGTGAACCAGAAAGTTCAAGTTTTAGTTTCAAGCTTAGTCATTAAAAGTGTGCGTGTGTGTTTGTGTACGTATGTGGGAGGAGGATTCAGTTTACCAATTAACTGAGCTATTCAATCTCACTAACAATGCTTTTCTGTGGAAAATTGGACCTGTTGCATCTTAGGTGTTTTGTCTTTCTTCGGGGTAACATGGCGGTGCGGTGGTTAGCACTGTCTCTACCATTGCTTCTCGGTTTAGATTGCTTAGGCGCCTGAGGTCTTCTTGTGTAGAGCTGCCTGTTCCCTCTGTGCCTCATTTGATTGCTTTAACTGATTATTTGGCCATAAATATGGATGTGGTTAGATAAGAAAAACGATGGACTTTCTTTATAAACCCTTTTTTCTTTAAGGGGAACAAAAACACTTTTGGTGGCAGCTGTAACCATGGGTTTTATCTTTGCAACAACATCCCGTTATCTTTTCTTTTTTCTTCTAGACAAAATGATTCATTCGAAATGATTCATGTCAGAGTATTAGCAAATAGTGGGAGAAATGAATGGAGCTGATTTGCGGGAAGTTTTTACTCATCAACATTTCAGCCTGAAACAGTTTAAAGGAGAATTGAAGTTTGATATTTTACCAGTTATACATGGAGTAAAATCTCAAAGGTTTAGTTATATTTTTTATTTTATGATGCATAGATGAGCTAAATCTCCACAAAGCTCCTTGTAGACACTCCCTGGTGTAAGTGGTTGGAGCAGGTAGGCGTAGCTGTTGCACTATCTGGCTAGACAGTGAGCTCATGGGACTTCCCCACCATCCTGGACCTGTTCTGTACTTACCTTCTTTCATAGTGTCTGAAAGTTGTGGCCAAAATCCTCATCCCTTTCTCAGTATATGAGCAAACTATTGAGGATTAGTGAAGACAAAGTGGCAAAGAGCCACTGCTGAGTGTGCTTGGGTTTAAGCATGCCCAGCCCAGTTCTGTGTCATCAAAAGAGTTTACTTAAAATTCATGGTTATTATGGCTCCTCTGTTTGGGTGTGTGTGCTTTCAGATAGCCACTAAGCACAGTGATACATTTCAGTTGTATAATGATGGCTGATACTTTGAAAGATGCAGGCATAGAAAGGATTACATTTAGGACCATAACAGGACCAAATCTTCCACTCTGTCTCATTTGATCATGATGAGTCCACTTGATTATAGGTATTCACAGACACTCAGACGCAGGAGATACAGAACGAGCACCCTCTTGTATCTCCCCTAGTACCCGCACTATGCTCATGCAGCTAACAAGCTGTTTGTATCTTGCTTACCTCCCTGCTGCAACAACAATAAGACTCGGGCAATATCACTAGGACTCTCACTTGAAAGGTAACCAAGCCTTCATGACTCGGGGCCTGACAGCAAGGTGATGATAACTCTCATTAGTAGCTCATTTTCTGTGGTGTGTTGTTACAAATGCAACATAGCTTTGCCGATTACTCTTCTTCGAGGAGACGTGGTATTCGATAGGGACGAATAAGTCTTTCAGCTGGTCAGGGTGACTATGTGAAATCTGTGTTTGTTCTGACTCGATTAGTGTATTTCCTTCTTCACTCTCCCTCTCTTGCTCCCTGTTTTTGCCAGTGACTGAGGCTGTGGTCAGGAGGCATTCCTGGGGCAAGCCCACAGCATTCGCTGGGATGCCTGTACTAAAGTGTGGAACTCAGCAAGCCACTCGGCTCCCCTGTGGTGCTGGCATGGTGAGTACCAAGGCATCCTGCTGGGCCTGTGGTAGTGTTGGTAACCTAGCATAAGAAGGAGGTAAAAAAAAATATGAACAAAGCGGAAAAAGTTCTGCACTCCAAGCTGTGACATATTCACACGTAATTCTTTAAGACAATTGGGAGCATAAATGTCGAACTGGAAGAAAGTAAATGAGGTGATGTGCCCCTGTGTATGACCATCTGGAAGAACACATTAGGCTCTCTGCAGGGCCTCTAACTCCACAGTTCATTAGTATGCAGTATAGTAAAGGGGTGGCCCACAGTTGCCTCCCAACATGCATCCATGTCGCATTTATCTTACAGAAACAGCTGTTGGAATATTGTCTGACTTTGATATTTTGGAGCCAAAATGTAGGTTTTACCAACACTGTCTTAAAACAACTGGTTTCTGCATATTTTTTGCCCTCTAATTTCTGAGAAGTGGATATTTTGGAGTTGCAAGGTGAGAACAGCTTGAACAGCTGTTGTTAAATTGTGTTGATGTGTTGTGTCTCTGACAATCATGCATTTTTCATATAGTGCCAAACAGCAACTTGCCTCAGATCTTTCAAAGGACATTACAAAAAGATATTGCCTTCAGATTAAAAAAAAGAAAGATTCAGGGGGGAAAATGGTGCTGCTCATTCACTGCAGAACAAGTCGGAGCAAGTTGTGGTCAGCCGCTCTGCAGCAAATCTCTTGAACATGTTGCATAAAGACCGTCTCAGTCTTGGTGAAACACAGCTCAATTGGTCTCATTATCTATGAAAGATCCTTACAGATCTCTTGACACCTTCTTCTTCTTCTTCTTCTTCACCTTCTCCACTCTCCCACTTTTCTTTACCCAGTATGAAGCCAAAGTCCTTTTTGT